CAATTATCGATTCTTCTGTTTGACCAGGTCGGTAATTGAAATATAACTTACCTTGCTAGAGGCGAGCGCACTGTCAAGAGACCCGCCAAATGGTAGCCAAGAGAGATTGATTGTGGCATGCTTAAAACTACTTCTCCGGTAAAGCGCCCAACATCCGAGTAGAACATGGAGCATCCTTATACTATAAACAATCCACCATATACATTTCAGCATGTAATATTCTACCGGTAATTAGTAATGAGCGTTACAGTTAAGATAACTAATAGCCAAAAAATTACATTTATTGTCATTTTATTTCATTTGACGTTGTAAAAGAGAGGCGAAGGATAGCAAGGGGACATTCAAACTCATAGTTCGAAAATAAACTGACAACGCCATGGCTAAAAAAGAAAAAGATAAACAGACAAACAACAGTACACAAAACAACATAAAAAACCAAAGACTGAGCAACACGAACCTGATAGTTTGGTTTTTAAAATAAAACAAAGCTGAAACCTTGGAAATCATTTCCTTTTTTAGGGTATTTTATGAACTTTATTAATTCACATAAACGCAGAGGCGGATTTAGGGGGAGACAAGGGGCCCGCCTACCTTATGGAGCTACATATATGATAAATGCATAGACTTATAACAAGTATCACTCTAAACGTTGGCTTTCTATACCCCCCTTTTTCAAAATCCTCGATCCGCACCTGAAACGTGCGTTTCTATTTTGAGTTGAAAATAAGGAATATTCTGCCATGTCTGCATTACTATATAATTTTTTTTAAGTTTCTTTAACACAAATTCTGTATACTTTTTCTGTCAATCTAGTGCCATTATTTCATGGAAAGTACAGGTTTACGAAGGAAACATTAAGACGATCTGTGCGATTACTATCGTTGTGCAATATGTACTAAACTTCATAAAAATCAAAAATATAGATAATAAAGATATAAGATACATAAGATAAAACGGGTATACAACTCGAAGTCGTTATTTTTTCCTTGTTAATGTGGGACATATCAGTGTCATAAAATGGGCGCTTTACCGGAGAAGCAGTGTTAAACGAGAAGAAGCAGGATTGAAAATAAATCACGAAGATGTGGTGATTTGTAATAATGTTATAATTTTATTTCATCTTATTTTCACAGCAACAGTAAAGTGTGATTGAAGAAATCTGTATCATATTTTCATGTTTTAGATAACGAACTGGTTAATTGGTAAACAGATATGTGTCATAAGAGAGAATGGAAGATTTACACATAGCAGTAAATAAATGAAGAGTCATTTTTTTATAATCATAGCAGCTGCTGTAATTCAGGTAAATAGGTAAACTTGCTTTTTTACACTTTGCATGTATACAGATTTTGAGAAGGAGAGAGAGAGCGAGGAATAAAGTTTTTTTTTTATCAAAAAAGTTGAATATGGTTTTTTTACAATTGATCATGAATGGCTAAGTTTTACTATACACAGTCAAGTGTAAATGAGCTGTATTGTAATAGAAAATCCTTTACCTTATTTAATAGCAATTCCCTGTTACCACCAACAAAGTTCCGGCATGGATTTTCTTGAAGTTTTGTTTGTTGATAGCTACCGAGAAAAATATCAGAAATATGATGACGAAAACATTTTTTCTGTCCCCGTTGCCATAGTAACGGGTCAACTTGGATTTTGGCTCAAAATTGTATATTTTGACGTAGAAAATGACCAAAGTTAAGCAGTTATCATGTGACATTTCAATTTTGATGAATATTGTAGCATGTGTTCATTAAAATATAAAATCATTTTGTAAGATAAAAGATAAAAGTTAATTCCAATAAAAAGTGGCCAATGTGCCGACACTAATTAACACAAGGACATTTTTATTGTATTCAAGAAGGCAAATTGTAGGCATTTTACATGAATTAATTACTCACTGTTGCATCCGCATCCATTCATATTGAGGTTATCAATGAAAACTATCACTGTTGCCTATAGTAATAATTTATAACAAAATGCTTGAGATACAGGTTGCTAGGGTGGTTGTTATGAGAACCTAAAAGTGTCATTTTTGTTATTTGAAAAAGAATTTTGACCTTGAATGCAAGATTTTCAAATAAATCATTATATTAATCAGAATCGATTTAGTGTGGAAGTTTTTGCTCTCTTTCAAAATAACATTTTTTATACGACCGCAAAATTGTTGTATAATGTTATGACGTTGTCAGCGTCGTTGTCGTCGTCCGAAGACATTTGTTTTCCAGACAATAACTTTCCTTACTGTTTATGAGGAATAAGGGGCCAAAAACAGGCATTTTTTTTCCATTCTCAATTTTATTTTTATTGTTTCAGGACAATAACTTGTGTATAAATGTATGGATCTCTTTGAAATTGTACAACAAGGATATATATCTTAAAAGAAAGGTTGGGGTTGATTTTGGGGGTCATGGCCCAAAACGTTTAGGGATTAGGGGCTAAAAAGGGGCCAACAAATAGGATTTTCTGGTTTCAGGACAAAAACTTCAGTATAAGTAAATGGATCTCTTTGAAATTGTTCCACAAGGTCCCATACAAAAAAAGGAATGTTGGAATTTTGGGGTTATAAACAATACTTTTCTAATACTTTATAAAAATTGCTTATTTCTTGACCAATTTCATTGGGTTTTTTTTTCAAAGTCTTGAATTCTTTGGTTTCTTAAATATGCTGAATCTAACTGTGTATTTAGATTTTGGGCTCTTTTTTTTTAAATTGGTCCATATTGAGGTCCAAAGGGTCCAAAATTAAACTTTGATTGATTTCAATATATTGAAATATTGGGGTTCTATTATCCATGCATTTAGATTTTTGATTTTGGGACCGTTTTTCAAATTGGTCCACATTAAGGTCCAAAATTTTACTTAGTTTGATCTTAACAAAAATTGAATTCAAGGGGTTCTCCGATATCCTGAATATAAACATGTATTTATATTTTTGCGTTTGGGCCCTGTTTTCAAGTTGGTCCAAATTGGGGTCCAAAATTTAACGTTGTTTGATTTCAACAAAAAATGTGTATATTGGATTCTTTGATATGCTGAATCTAACCGTGTATTTAGATTTTGGATTTATGGCCCCGTTATCAAAGAGGTCCAAAATTAAACTTGTTTGATTTTAGCAAAAATAGAGTTCTTTGGGTTCTTTTGTATGCTGAAGCTAACCATGTATTTAGATTTTTGATATTGAACCATAAGGTAAATGTCCAATTTCAAATTTTCAATTTTTTAGACCAATGGCACATTCATTCTGTGTCAGAAACCCATGCTAAAAAAAGTATGTCAAATATTTAATCACAATCCAAATTCAGAGCTGTATTGTACAATTAATAGAAATTGTATGGAGATTCATAGTTAAAAACACCAGGCTCAAGTTTAAAACAGATAGAGCATCAAATTCTAATTTTAGAGACGAATTCATGTATAAATATAGGTTGAAATTTGCTGTTCATTATTAGAAAAATAATTAAAGGTAAGTTTTATAGATTTTTTAAAAATATTATATTAATGTTGAATGATATTTTGGAAATTTTTTGAAGAACTTTTGGCAGATTTGTTTGTTATTCTGTATAAATTATTTTTCAGAATGCTATATAATATATACATTTGTTTTTTGATGAAGCGAACACCTTTAAAAACTTAGCTAATATTGTCCATTAATAAATAAATGAATTAAATTCTTGGTGTACTGTACTTGGATATGCTGAAACTAACCGTGCATGCATTTAGATTTTGGATATTGAACCATAATAGGCAAAAGTTCAAATTTTTCAGTTCTCTGACCACATTCATTCTGTCAAATATTTAATCACAATCCAAATTCAGAGCTGTATTAAGCTTGAATCAGAATGTAGTGTCCATACTTTCCCCAACTATTCAGGGTTCGATCTCTGCGGTCGTATCAAGCTGCGCTCTGCGGGGCATGTTTATCGGTTTGTATACGACTTTGTAATCTCATGACATGCCGAGCAGTCGGTTATTTTTCTGGGTTCATGGAACTACCAATTTCGCATTCCACGTTTAAAAACATACGCAACAACTCTCTGAGTGACCAATAGGTGGTCAGTTGCAAGGCAAAAATTATGCCCGTAAGTTTACCCTCATTTTCCAGCGGTAGTCCAAATTTCCCAATCAGTCATCTCGTCCACCTACCTTACAGAACAACATATTGTATCAATTGTTAATTTGTTCTCGTCCTGAATTTGTATGAACTATTTGCCACTGAACGTTAGACAATCAATTATCAGTCAATCATTAATTTTTAGTATTGGTCTAAGAATCTTGTGAGATATACAGGACCTACTTACTCTTGTATGAATTGATTGATTTCCCCGTCTTGAATTTGCATTGCGTTGAGCATTTTCGACCATGCATGTAAATTACAGAATACACTCTGTTGATATATGATATAATGTTTTTACAATGATATTCAGTTTCATTGCAAATGTTGCGATTTAATTCATATTGCAAAACTTTTTGAGACACCAAATTCAGGATGTTCGCTACTCTGTTTCAAAGTAACAAGCTTTTTAAAAGACTAAAATAAACTGAAATTATATAAATAAAGGAACTAACAAAGCAGAAAAATATGAAGGGTCCGTGTGCTTGTTTTCAAGATATAAGCCATTGAAAATTTGGCGGGAAATGATTATTTCTAGACTTTTCATACATTTAATATTGGCACCTTTTTTCTTTCAAAAACTATGAAAAAATAACAAGGATTTGATAAAATTTTCAAATATGGCTTTTTAAACTATATGTTATAAAAGTATGTAAAGAAAGTAGGGGTTTACGGGCAAATGTTTTAATGGCACTACATGGATAAAACCAGAGGATTCCGAATATATGGCAAAAATTCAAAAACAAGAGGAGCGAACGTCCTTAAGACAAAAAAGGGAAAGAGAAAAATTGGCGATTCAAAGATTAATAATGGAACAACCTGTTTTCTGTTTATATCTTTTTTAATTGTTTGTGTCGAATGAAAAATGTGTTTATTTGCTTTACAGATTTTGCAGTATAGTATGTCATACAGGTTTACTTGTCCTGAACAGCCACATTGGAAAGTCCAGTCCAAACACCTTTGTCCGCATGCGCGAAACTACACTTGTTTACTAAACATCCTAAATCTGACATATCAAGAGAACTGCAAAGGACCAAAAATAATTGCCCCAGGTATAGTTTATCTATCGCATCAAACTCGCCGGCAGTTCCGGCTTCGATACACTAATTGATGGAGTAATGAAAAATAGTTCCGGAACGGAAACGATCACTGTACGGAGTTTGTCGCATATCATTATGATGTAGACTGTAACAATATCCGGCACTATTGTTTAATTCCAATAATGTAGTTATCTTGTTATCTTTTATCAAATATATATACTCTTCCCATATAACTCTGTACAATGCAGAAAATTTGAAAATGTAGGCTCTGTGAAAAAGCTTTTGTTGAACGAAAGGACGAAAAAGGTCAAATAAAGTCGGGAAACATCATGGCTAAAACAATTACATCAGTCCACAAAACACTTGAAGAGAAAACAAAAGATTGAGCAACACGAACCCCTTCCGTTATACATGTATCACTTAAGTAATGTTAGACAGTCCCTGAACACGTGGTTTTGATTTGCACTCAAATTTGAAATATGAAGCTAATAACATGCAAGATGATAATGTTTACTATATGAACAAAGTGCTTTTTCCGTCGTTGTAATTGTTGGATGATCTCTCTTATCAATTTGTACAACTACATTAGGTTCATTTGTATTTTAAACAGACTGAAACCAAAGAACTCTTAGTTAAAATTTACCTTCGACATCCAAGTAATAATAGCTAAAAACAGTTGCTGTACTTGTCTCCTTGAAATATGCCCTAATCTTCTTTTATCCATTTTACTGACAAATCGCTTACATAAATGTGAACCTATGTAGATTAGTCTACAGTATTTGAGCATTGTAGGTTCTAAGTATATATGGCAACCAAACTTTAACAGAGGTGAATGTGACACAGAAAGATACCAACCGTTCATTTTTCACACAGACGGATATACTAATTGCTCGTTTTTGAAAAGTCGGTGCTACAGTGAAGGTCAAGCAACTTTCAGCAATGGTAGTACCAAAATGGATAGATCATGCTATTGTGATAGCACAAGAGGATATGTTTTCGTCATTTCAACTCATGAGAAATACTGTATACCTTCTGAGGAGGATTGTTCCTGTCATAAAAATATCACAGAAGGAATAGCAAATATATATGATACAGGTAATACATGTACTAGTATATGGGATATGAATAAAATGTAATTTCACGAAGTTTTACGCAAATGTTTTTTCATACCTTATATATATATATTATTTATTTTATCATACATAGATTTGATGCTTTACATGTTCTCTGTGCACCGATTTCATCTTTGACAATTTCGAGTAGGGAATATCCATTGACATACATTAAACACAAGAATACTGATGATTTTGATATCTAATTTGCCGGCACATAGTTAACTTTGCATGACTATTTTTAGGCCTTAGTGTTGATTATACCACATATGACCCAAGAGTACAGTGAGTATATGTTTATTTTTTATTTTTTTTCGTCTTCAGTAAATCTTTTCAAAACCCCTACTTGTTAATTTTTGCGTTTAAGCGTTCACAGAGTACTGAAAATGTATACAAGTATTGAAATGTGATCAGATTACAGAATGTACAAGCTTTTCTACGGTTTAACTTTTCAAAAAGAGAAACAAATTAATAATTAATAATGACAAACGGAGATTGAACATGAATGAGTGACCTTCATCAACCAACTTGATATTAAACTTAACATTTTTTTTAGAAAACTGGGACTTTAAAAAAGAGAAAATGACTTTTTTCATACATGTATGCATATATTTACAATAGCTGTTCAAAACATATAAATACTGTTTTTTGCCGAAAGTCGATCCACATCATGTTTCCAGTTCTATATGAAAGCAACACATTGTCTATGTACATTGTGCAAACTTTATGTTTTAAAAAAATCTCAAATTATATTAATTTGAAAAAGAAGTTGACGTTGTGTATTGTAAAAATAAATGATCAAGAGAAATCGGAATTGTAACAATAAATTATTATCCTATGACATACACGAATTATAATTATTGAAATTAGATAAATATGTTAAGATCTTTAAAGTTCTGAAATCGACATCCTCACAATGCAAAACACGAGGAGTAATACTGCCTTCATATCTCTAGATGATATCTGCCACAGTATCGTAGTTTTAGAACCTAGATTGTGATGACGTATATGCGTGCAAAATATGTTATTCCGCTTGTATTGCCTCTGTTTGTCAGTTTCTTGCCAGGTTTCGTTTAGATAGGTAGAATTGAAGCGTTCAAGCAGTAATATTACTTTATATTCATCTTAAAATCCTAAGTTTATTCGCATTCCTCAAAGCACAAACAATGTTTACTTCTTTTTTGTGAGAACAAAACTTTAAACGTACACACTTAATTCGTTTGTTTAATATTTTTATACGGTCGTGTAATGGTATGGTTATGTTGTCGTCAGCGTCCGAAGACATTTGGTTTCCATGAGTATAAGTCCATGGATCTCTAAGAAATTGTTCCACCAGATTCTTTACCACAAACGGAAGGTTGGGATTGATTTTGGGGGTTGAGCCCTAACCATTTACCTTCTAATATTTTGTATAAATTGCTTTTATCTTTGCCAATTTCAATGGTGTTTTATTCAAAATCTTGAATTCTTTGGGTTCTTTAATATGCTGAATCTAACGTGTGTTTAGATTTCGGATTTTGGGCCCGTTTTTAAATCGGTCCAAATTGAGGACCTCAATTACAGGGTCTAAAATGAAACTTTTTGTTTGGTTTTATCAAAATTGATTTCTAGGGGGGGTTTATATTTTTAAATTTTTAATTTTGGGCGCCGTTTCAAATTGGTCCCATTAAGGTCCAAAGGGTCCAATAAAATTTTGCTTGATTTCAACAAAAAATGAATTCTTATGGTTCTTTAATTGACAGTGTATTTTTTTACTTTCGGCCCGGTTTTCAAATTGGTCCACAGGGTACAAAATTAAACTTAGTTTGATTTTATCAACAAAAAAAATGAATTTTTGGGGTTCTTTGATATTCTTAATCTAAACATGTATTTAAATTTCGATTTTGGTCCCAGTTTTCAAGTTGGTCCAAATCGGGGTCCATAAGTTATCTTTTCAACATATATTAAATAAATGGGATTCTTTGATATGCTGAATCTAACCGTGTATTTAGATTTTGGATTTTGGGCCCCGTTATATTTTGGTTCACTTTGAGGTGTATAGGGTCCAAAATTAAACTTTGTTAGATTTCATCAAAAATTGAATTATTGGGGTTCTTTGATATGCGGAATCTTACCATGTATTTAGATTTCGGATATTGGACTATAATAGGTAAATGTCCAATTTAAAATTTTTAAAACCACATTCATTCTGTGTCAGAAACCTATGCGGTGTCAAATATTTAATCACAATCCAAATTCAGAGTTGTATCTAGCTTGAATGTTGTGTACGTACTTGCCCCAACTGTTCAGGGTTCGACCACTGCTTTTATGTCAAGTTGCGCCATGCATGGGAGCATTTTATTGCTATATAGTATCTGCATTATAAAAATAATCGGTGTAAGTTTTTTTGTTTCGCATAAACAGGTCAGGAGTCATTCATTATGTTAACACTGTTAGAGACTACGATGACACGATGTATAACATAAAAAGAAGTGGTGAGTTAAAATAATAATATACATATACGTATGCCATGAATTAAAGATTTCTGTAGTGGGACAGGCTCATACATGATGTGGCGGAAAAAAACTTGTTTGGGACGTACGCTCTAACCTCCCATAAACAAGGACAGAGGTGTAAAAACTCAACATAAAAACACACTGGGAAAATCTAATGAAAAGGGTTTGACACATCAGATCGACACATAGCACCCAACAACAAACCCAAAAGTCAAAATAATTTTTTATGTGCAAAACTGACGCGTATGTGCACAAATTACTTGTTTAATCAGTGCAATATCATAAACATGTGATATTTTGTTTATATGGTAATAAAATACATTTTTATTGATAACCTATAATTAATATAAATGAAATCTATCGATAATTCGTCGCTATATCATTAATATAGCAAAACATTTCATATACATGTTTAAAATGTCAAAAATTTAAATAGAAATAAACTAATTCGAATAAACAACTGGTGAAAAGACAGAGTAAACATGTACTTTTGTTCAGTCACCACTTGTAATTTCTGTTTCTCACAAAAACACTGTATGAGTAAGGTTTACGAATTGCAATATTGTAAACAGAACCAGATTTATCAAAAAATGTAAGCAATATATTCCTGAAAGCCGTTTTACTGTTTGGGTAAATTAAATCAGGGGGGGGGGGAGATTCAGGCTCCTGGGATCCTGTAGCGTGGGATCTCAACCCTCCGTTTGCAAATTTGATGCACTATATATGCATATTACGAAAATGCTTCCTTCCAGTTTTTACTTGAACGAAATATTGTGTATCAAAAGTACATAAGGCAAAAGTTAAAGACCAATCAGGGAAAATAACATCGGCACGTTATTCAGATGAGTGATACTTTTTTTAATATTAAGCTTTTCCTTTTTATCTTATTTTACAGGAAATGCCAGGCGTGAAGCTGCTAGTCTCGTTCTGATCATGTTTATTTTGATGTTGTTTTTACCATACCGTAAGTGTATCAAGCAAAAACATTAACATGCTAAGATTACAATGACCTACTATTTTACATTGCTGGTATGTGTAGTGTCACTCTCCTGCATTTAAAAGGGTAAAATGCCAGTCTAATGAACCAGGAATTATATAAATATCGTTGGTTAAAAAACCAGCAGCCAATCTTTCCTTTATACCACACATTCGGTAAAATTTCCAGATTGTGACCTTTCTTGGTGTTTGCATATACATATTGGTATCATATACGATGTAGAAGGAACATTTTTATATTTGAATAAGTCTATAAAATTTTTTTTTGCATCTTATGGCCGATGTGAATTGTGTAATTTCTTTCCAAATTGTATAGTTTTGAAATGACTAATATTGTCATGAACTACTTATGACCGTCAATCAAATTTTGAGCAACTATTTCTACATATCTTATATCTTTGTTCACATGCATTTCAGGTGAAAAATTTATATTCATACTTTTCCCAATGTAATGTCTACTTATTAATTTCCGCTTACCAGTGCTCGATAACTTTGACAGTTTTTCATCTGTATAGACTATATATGGAAGTTTTTAACGACCTTGACTGGCTATACAGCCCTTGCATGGTCGGTAGACTATCTGTTTTGAGCCAGCTATTTATAGCTAATAAACATTCTGCAGTTGATGTTACGTCATTCAGGGGATTGTTTGTTTATAATTAGTCAAAATACCAAAATTGCTTATACCCATGTTCGGTAATGAAATTTAAGCAATCAAACTGTAAATCAGATATCTTGTGGAACTATAATTTGTCTGATAAATACAATAGAGCAATTCAGAAAAACCTATTACATTAATAAAATTATTGTCATAATATGGTGGTGTGGAATAAAGTTAAACAATTGCATTTTACCTTTTTTGGGGGAGACACAAATTTTGTATAATTCTTTAAAAGTTGCAGATATTGTTCCCATTTTCACTATTAGGATTGGACACACACATGACAAAATCAGTATGATAAATGAACTCATTATAGATACCAGGATTAAAATTTTGTACGCCAGACGCGCTTTTCGTCTACAAAAAACATCAGTGACGCTCGAATAAAAAAAGTTAAAAAGGCCAAATATAATACGAAGTTGAAGAGCATTGAGGACACGTAATTCCGAAAGGTTTTGTCAAATACAGCTAAGGTAATATATTCCTGGGGTTGAACATCCTTAGTATTTCGAAAAATTCAAAGTTTTATAAACAGTGAAACTGGTGACTGGTAATTAGACTAAGGTGCATGTTAGACGGTGGTAGAAACTCTTAATGGACCCAATTTGCACAATTAGCACACCCAACCAGTATAAGTGTTTGTTGATATAAGCAATCGATGCCTACAAAGTTTTCATTATCATCCGCATTTGCCGGATTTCTTGATTTCTTTCTGTTCGCTGTTTTTGGCCTCTTTTTTTAAATTTTATTTGCTTAAACAGATAAGCTGAGTCAGATTTACAATTTCTACCACCATGACCTGCCTTACTTGTTGTTGGGGGGGGGGGGGGGGGGGGGGGAGGGTATTAATGACCTCACTAACAGCATCATCAGTAGCATTATCAATTACTCTACCGCTGGTAGCAAGGTATACCCGAGCGGAATGTCGGTAATTCTTTCCTTTGCCTATCAACTACCATCACATTTTTCAAATTATATATCTTGGATGCATGAAGTTTACGGTCTCCTTTTGATAGATTTCAACTGTGAACTAATATACTCAAACGTAGTTAGGGCAGTTAACTATTGCAAAAATCCTAGTGGCCGAAAAAGAAGATGAAACGTTTGATCCAGTCATACGATTCGTGGTTCGCATGCGTTATTTTTTTGGAAAAAAATTCATGTGTATAGTTGTTACGTGTAGTTGTTTCTCCGTTATGACTTGTTGAAAAGAAACCTTTGTATCCCTATTCATCAAATCCTCATTTGATGCAGAAAAATTTGTACCGTTAATGTTATTTCTAATGATATCATTTTCTACGAATTACCAGAAATTGAATAGGCAGTTTGTTGAATTTTGTTTGACTATTTTAGACGTTTAACAAAATGACTATGAATTTGTAGTCATTGTATTATGTAATGCCTGTCAAGGTTAGACATTTTATGAATTCATCAAAAATTCAGGCAATTTACAAAATGCCTAAATTAAGAAACTTCCTGTAGTTTTTGTGGATTTCCGCCTTTTTGAAGTAGCCTTAGAGTTCGGTATTTTTGTTAATACTTTTTTCTGTAACATAATATAAGTCTTTCCTGGATAATGCTGTTGTCGCTTAATTTTTCATTGACGTTTAGCCCATTTTCTATTTTACGAAATTAGGTCTTAGATATCCACTCAAAACTTATTATATCCTATTTTGCTAATTACACAATTTATTACATTTGTTACTCATATTTCAGCGTCCGCTGTTATTATTACCAAGGTTTGTCGAAGACTACGAATGACTACATGTAGGCAATGTAAGTGTAAAATATTATGATACATGTAGCAAAGAACGCTCGAAATTGTTTTTTGTTAGTATGGAAAAGACAATTTTGTTTTATTAAACAATATGTATTGATGAGATGACATCATTTTGTAATTTTTCTTTTTTCGATAAGCGTTTTAATGAATATGAAACATGTGTAAGTCAATATTCAAAATGAAATACAGTGTTTTTTTAAAGGAATGTTGCTACATGATGTTCAATATAGAACAATAACAGAGTTGACAATCATACTTCAAGTTTCATATGATCCTTTTATAATATCTTCTCTTACGATAACAAAGAATCTGAATGTGTTGACAAAAGCAATATATAGCATACAGTCAAGTGTCAGAAGAATGTTTCTTAGAGGGATGTAAAAAATATATTTTATTTCATTTCAAAATACAAATATGATGCCTGATAAAATTTTTAAAAAACCTATGTTTCTATGGTATCTAGGACAAAATCATGACATTTTATGAATATTCACTTAGTTTTGATCTATGTCAAGCAAACGAACTAGTCTGTCATTAGTGTGTTCTTCGTAAACAAGTTGTACATTCCGACAAATTGGACAAATAACGATAAAACCTCCTGCACATTCACATGAAACTTATATATGTATAATTGATTTGCAGGCTACAAAACCAACAATAGTACAATAGAAGGTGACGAACAGAAAGATATTGAAGCGGGAGCTTCATGCGAAATGGGCACACGACAAAATGTATTGACTGGACTTGACAAGTGCGTTCTTCAGAGATACATTTCAAATCTAAGTAATACAGAGATCATAGAGTTTGCATCAATTTTACGGAATAAAGGTTTAATCAGTAAATGTGCATATTCATACATAGGAACATGTTATAAAATTCACAATTATCAAAACATGAGGTCTGTGGCAGTAAGGAATATTACTAAAATCCATACAGATTTGAGAAATATTGTTTTTGTTATGTACAATCTTAATAACAGGTATAAATCATGGGCAGTTCAATTATTTACTACTTTTAAAAATGTGTTAGAACTAAGGCCTTTAATTGTATATAGAGTTGACATTCAAGATCGAACATTTATCCAAGCATACTTTGATGTCATGAAAAAAAGCGTTCAGAAAATGGAGTTTGAAAATCCAGTTGAGTATTTAACAAATCTGTCGCAACAAATACAGATGACAGGACAACGATGCGATCAAGCCCATCAAAGAATATTCACCGAGATCTGTGATAAATACATTGTTTTAGTGGCGCTTACAATTGATGCGTTAGCTAATAAAACTAACGATATAGATCCAAATGGTAAATTTTTCAAAGAAATTGAAGCCATCATATCAAAGTCGTCTTGTCCAGATCTTTCACGGTGCATGCTATACGGACGTAAAGCTGTGGCATTATCTTTCCAAAACAAACGAGAAGAAGGGGAAGACATGGAAAAGATGGCTCTTATATGTGCAGCTAACGTTGTACCATGTCTAGAAACTGTTGACATGTTTTATAAACTAGTTTTGTTTCACAGAGCGTGGTATGAGAAAAACCCACAGAAAGAGCTGATGTTTATAGCGGAAGTCAAACAAAAAGCATTCGATGTTTTAAAAGACATGGGGGATGAGATAAGACTTTTCTGGTCAAGAAGATTTGTTGTTCGTTTGCTTTTATGTTACCTCGGCCTCGGTATGCGCGGTAGATTTATTCCACTTTACCAAATTCAGCCTAAATATACAAAGGAGTCAGAATTGTTATTAAAAACATATGATTCAAACACTGCTGAGATTCGTATTCAAATGTTATTTTATATAGCCAAAGCTCGTTTATCTCATTTAAAGGGGGATTTAAAAACTGCGATTGCATGTAACGAGGAAGCGAAGAAAATTGCCACAAAAGGTGCCTACATCGAACTAGAAACAATCCTTGATAATGAACAGATATTGCTAGAAAGTTGGTCCTTATCCGCTGACCTTCTTCCGAACCCTCCTTATTAATGACCGTAATGCAGTAGTATGGTTTTTTTGAAGTTTGATATTATTCGTAATTGACGAGTGTGGTTGCGCTATTTAATACATGTAAAGTTGCTAAGAATTTGTGAAAAATCCATATTATCATGTTTTCATGGGACTATTTACACGCAAAGTATTATGTATATGATTTGTCAAGAACAATGTTATCATACATATTGTTTGTGATTGTATTCATTAGGTTTATCTTATTGAATGAAAAACACAATTTACGAGCTTTAATGCAGAGTCGAGGTACTAAATATCAAAACATGTTTTGTAGAGTTCAAAGACTGTCGGAATTCTTGTTTAAAACTACAATACACTTCATGAAAGTGAGATGGAATTCTTGTTTAAAACTACAATACACTTCATGTAAGTGAGATATATATAGCTATTTGGACCATACGTATACGCGTATATTCATATGGTCCGACCATACGCGTATGGTCGGACCATATGAGTATATACTCGTTTGGATATTAACGAGCCGGACCAAATGAGTATTTGTACCATATAGGTATTTTTCGAATATATTCTAAATGGACTTTTTTCTTCTTTTTCCGGTATTTAGATAAGTTAATTTTTTAAATTCTTCTAAATTTTACCTATTTTTACTTAATTGATGTGTTTTTGTTCCTATTCATACGATCTTACAATAACAGTAGTTCATACATAAAACATATAGGGACAGCACGTTTAAACTACCGTGATTGTATAAATAGGAGCATGAACACATTAAAGATCATTAAATGACTAAAAGATAATTTAAGATATTAAAATATTTACTAAAATCAAATTAAAACATCAAAATAAAGGGGGAAAAAGGTGAGGTACAATGCCCCAAGTACCTGTGAGTTAAACAGTTGACTTCTTTTCAAACGGTACATTTAAATATTTCTTGAAGTTATATTCCAAAGTCAAAATCGACACATATTGTGTTTCGTAAGGACAAGTAGAAAATGACTTTGTAAAAATGCTTTAACTTAAATTTTAATTTGAGTAAAATTATTTTTATTTCATTAATCATGTAACAATGGTTGCCATTTGATGTAATAAATCACAAATAAAAACTCTTAATCAATGACACTTTGAAGGTTCGTACTTAAAGCAACGTCCATCGTATTAAACACCCGGACCTTATGAGTATATACGCATATGGTCATGACCATACGTGTATAGTCCAAACATTCCAGAACATCTATACGTTATCAAATTTCTTAGCACGTGACTCACTACCCTTACTCACCTGACAATTTACAAAATAAGTACCCGGCACACAAGTTCATATATTAACTAATAAAGTAAAATTATTGCAATACTCATATTAAACCAAGAGATAGATAAATGTCCTTTGAATTCAATTTTGAACATGATCTTAGCGCTGTTTATGTGATTTGTTTTTATTTTTTATTTGTTTTTACTATAGTTCTAAAGTATTTTAAGTCTTTTTTAAGCAGTATTACCTCGGGATGTGCAATACCAATATATTTTATTTATAGATAAAATAATATATTACATGACTGTATAGTTGCTCATTCTAGAACTAAAAATGTATTTGTTTCTATAGCAGAGTTTGTGTGTAATAAATTGTAATTTTTTTTTTATTAATTTTTTACATTTATTTACATTATTTAATGTTTATTACTTATTTTTTGGAAAAGATTTGTTATTTGTTTTTTATGTAGATCGTTTTTCGTGTTAATACTCCTGACCTGTCGTTAACAGTTTTCGTGCATGTTAGACCCTCATTCAAAACGATATTTGAACTAAGAGATATTTTAACTATTATAGTATAACATTTTAATATTTTGAAGCTAATACTCTCTGGACGCTGCTTTTTATGTGTACGATTTATATCTGTTGATATTTCACTTATCCAGATTAAAAAGGTAAAGGGTTAAGATTTTAAATAAAAACTAGTTTAACCCCACAAGACATTTATGTAAATATGTGAATATCGCTAAGATCAATTATCGAAATGAATGTGGAATTTGATGCACAAATCTATTTTACCCCAATTTTCGCAAGCATTGAAACTGGTTGTCTTTGTTAAACTTAGTGTAAGGTATTTTTCATGTTTTTGGTGATTTGGATATTTGAAAACATGAACATAAACCATTCGTAATCGTGCAAACTTCAACAAGAGTGAAACAAGTTGTTTTATAATATGGCTATCATATCATAGGTTAAATAAATAATCCACAATTTATGAAAGCAACTTGTAAGGAAAACACATCAAACTGTTGAATGATTAAGTTTTGCATTACCTACCTATAATTTGTGACTGTCATTTTATTCTACTTTCGTACCACAGTTTAACAATGTGTGTCCATCATTTATATTGTCTTAACTCATAACAAATCTTAGTGCGGTCAATCGGTCTATTCTTTTTTTCTTTTTCTTTTTTTTCTGTTTTTTTTTACTGTTTTTTTTTTCTTATTTTTTTTTTTAAAGTAAATGATCGCGAATTTTGACGTTGGGGTGCACTAAAATTTAACTTAACAGAATAGTTGGACTGAAAATGTGTTGATGGTCCCGACTTGCTTTATATTTTCTTTTTAGCCATGTTTTTGTTGTTTTTGTTTATATATACTGTTGTAACGTTTACATTAATTTGATTATATTTTTTTTAAACTTTGGTCGTTTAATTTTTAATTTTTTTTACTGTTTTGTTCATTCCCCAATTATCAAATTTGTTGTTCTAAATTATAGTAATATGTATCATATTTATGTATCTGTTAAATATATTACGAATTAAACTTTTTTTCAAATCATTGTATTAGATTTCTTTGAACGTGTTATTCAATCACAATTTTGAATCACGTATCACAAACATGCGGGAAAGGACAACAAAGAACAGACGTGAGCTAGATAATATTTACAAATTACAAACGAGTACTTGTTGTCTTTGTCTCAAAATGCAGGTAGGAATATAAGTTTATTCCAATTAAAGTTTGTATGCGGATTATTAATATTGAGAAACAACATTTTTCCGCATACGATACAAAAACCAGTTTTGATCACATGTTCATCGTTGAATTATATTAGGTATAGTGTCAATACATTTATTAGTAGTGATACGTTGAGAATCGTTTTTGTTTGTTTGTAGGTCGTAGATATAAATTAGAAAATAATAAATCCGAAAATAAGACTTAATAATTAATGAAATATAAATATTCGTTTAAAATGATGCACTAACCAGCAATTACGCATAGCATATTTATGTCGACGAAAGGAGTTAAATGTTATCATAAAACCAATAACATGATCACAAACTGCGGTTCGTCTTTTCTATAGAATAATTGCAGGATAATAGTCTCAGGAATGCTCGTGTAATAACATTAACGGTACCATTTGTTCTGCACCAGATGCGCATTGTTACAATACACGTCTCTTCAGTGATGCTCGAGGCCAAAATATTTGAAAATCCAAAACTTATTCAAAAGATGAAGAGCTTATAAACCAAAAAGGACAAAAAGTATAACTAAAGCCGGGCAAAAACTCAGTGCTTTGCATGAGGGAGATATATTCCTTAATCTAAAATAATTTCCGAAAATTTTGTAACAGCAAATTTTAATAAAACAATATCCGTATTTTCTTGCCAGTACCGAAGTACATGCGAGTTATGGAGTAACACTAAATGTTCAATATACATTGTGTCAGTGTATCAAAAATAATCCAGGACTCTGAAGTTGACTTTTGATATACTAGTATGCATGATTTTGTAAAATGGTATCAATCTAAGGGCAAATGGGCGTCAAGCGTGTAAAATATAGCTTACTGTGGCATTAAGATTTTAGCTTTTTCTCTTCAATTGCGTCCGTCTGTAACAAAATATTTGTTCAGTTTAATATGATAAACTTCCATTCAAAATTAATTCAAGCAAAAGACAAGGCAAAAAGCATACAAACAAAGCTTCAAGATAATAAAAGAAATACTTGATCAAACGCACATCATTTAAAGTTAAAATGATGGGTACTAAGAAGGCTAATTCAAATCGGATTTATACCAAGTATATCAAAAGCGTTTCATGCACAAAACCCACCGAATGACCGGTACACAATGCCAATAGTTTGTAGAATTCAATAGTTCGTAAAACCTTTTATTTATTAATCATTTCAGATGATGACGTCACAAATGACCGTTTACATAATTCATTTAAAACGCCGTTACATTTATAGGTTGTCTTTTAACTTAACTGAATTCGACAAACGATTGGTGTTCATAACCGGTCATTTGGTGCATTATGTTCCCGAATAAGATAGAATTACTCCGATTTTGATTGGCGTCCTTATTACCCAAAATTGCAATTTCAAATAATGAGCATTCGAGTTTTTTTCTTAAATATCTTGATTTAGTATTGTCTTGTAGGTTTCAACTTTATACACCTCATTCAACGGTTTCTTTCGCTTTTATCGAGTCTACTTATTATTTTGTACTCTACCTCCTTTGTTTGGTAGAGCTAGTATTACCCAGCCAGTAGGTTTCCTTGTAGTGTTGTGTGAACCCTTATTTGTCTTCTTTTTTTTTGTCGCAGTGTTGTTGTGTTTTTTCTTCGACTTTTGTGGTTGTTTCATCCCCTCATTTATTCTCTGTTTTTAAATCGATAGACCTAAACAAATTACTATGAATTTTCAATATTGATTTGCCACCCTTATTTTCAAATTAATTTGATGAGGTATAAATCCCATCAAAGAGTAATTCATTGTAAGATTCATTTTTGTGATACTACATTATACAAAACGGGTCACATGGTTCACGAGATCATACAATGCATCAGGAATAAAATAACACTGGAGAAATGGTAGTTCTTAATAGGTATATAAACCTTTTCAATAGAATGGCAAAATCAGGCAAATGTATCATCAACCAAGACATAAAGTTTTAGATATCTTGAACAACACAATGGGTGCCCAATGTGGAGCAGGATCCTCTAAGCCTTGAGATCATCCTGGTTTTTGGTTCGTATTCCTCAGTCTTTAGGTTTTTATCTATTATATATGTTGTGTGGCTTTTCGTCGTATTATTGTTTGTGCTATGGTATGGCTTCGTCTATGATTCGTCAACTTATTTGAATTTCCCTTTAGTGCATGAAGTTTATTTCGCCTCTCAGACGTCATGTCATGTTCTGTATAAGCTAGTTTGATTGTTATGATAGTAGAGGGTGGCTGCTTATAAAATGAAAATTTGTTGTATTAAATAGTAATATTTAGTTCAATTTAGGGACAGAAAAAATAAACGTTTAAACATGCGACATGATTAACGAATATGATTTGTGCTCAGTACTTTTCTAAGGTTACCTATAATAAAAAAAACGTCTGATATTTCGTAATTAAAGTCTTAAAATTACTTTCAAAGTTGTATGATTTTAATGTTTCCTTGTCATATTGAAAACTTCAATGTATCATCATTCAGGAGGAAGGTGTCCGACAGATCCAACAAGTGTTTTGACGCTGCAAATCAAACCTTTAAAGCAGCTGACCTGATATGAAGGCATTCTGTTTGGTAGTATCTAAAGTGTGACGGAAATATTTGATTGACATCTGGACAAACGGACAGGCCAACGAACGGACGAACAGGGAGGCGAACAGACTGCTGAGTGGGTATACTAGAAAGTACGTGTATATTACTATAATATTGCACATTTGTAATTAAAGCACTCATGAATAGGAACTCGTCTGACCATTCATGGCGTTTGGAATACTTACATCAAAATAAACTCGTTGTTACTTTACATTTAATTAGATTAATATTCTATGAATGTCTTAAAATGTTGACACAAATAGTCAATTTCAAATTACCAAATTTCTTAAAAATCAAGTTTTTTGGTAGCAGGATCTGCTTTTACTTCCGGAGCACCTGAGATCACCCCCAGGTTTCGTGGGGTTCCTGTTGCTCTGTCTTTAGTTTTCTATGTTATGTTTTGTAGACTGTTGTTTGTGTTTTGGTCGGTTTTCTTTTCTAGCCATGGCGTTGTCAGTTTATTTTCTACTTATGAGTTTCAACTTTGAATATCCCTATGCTATCTTTCGCCTCTCTTCTACGGAATAAAATGATCACCAATTAACCTACATCAAAATGTTTTCATTTCATAGAATTTGAATTTAATTTCTTCAATATTTTGCATTTTGCCAAAATAAATCGGTAATTTGAAAATCTACTAGTTATCAAATGCATGATTTTGCATCATCATTTAGATTACTATTATTATTTTCTTGAGGACACACGTTGTTGTTTAAACATTCAACCAACGAGTTTTCTGTTTACTCATCACGGAATATTTCCTTTTCATTTGTCTTCGATTTGATTTGATTAGACGGTTTTTTATAATCTTGTTTGTGGTTTATTGCCTCCATCTCGTCACAACTGTTCATTGTTTTGTCAGAGTCAACATTATTGTTGACGTTATCCTGTAAACTACTGGTCCCATGCCGAGATTGAGTAGCCTCTCGCACTTTTGCATCATTTACATTTTTTAATTTTGTCGTCTGTGGTTTTTCATACGCATGGCCTTTCATGTCCCTGTCTTTTTGTAGCGGTTGATACACATGAGAATATTTATGATAAGTAGTTTCTTCATCAGACCCGGAAGACGTTTCGGTACCCGGATTAACAGTCATGGCTACTTTATACTCATGGGAATTTGTTTCCCAATTGTCCTGAAGTGTATGGTTTGGATTGAGATATTCTGTATCGTCTGCAACGTCTGAGCTGGAAGAAGAAGCTGGACTGCTTCCCTTATGTGATAATGCTGATGATGGCGTAGCCTCCCACGCTTTTGCATCATTTACTGTTTTTAATTTTGGCGTCTGTGGTTTTTCATACGCTTGGCCTTTCATATCCCTGTCTTTTTGTAGTGGTTGATACACATGAGAATATTTAGGGTTTGTAGATTCTTCATCAGATCCTGAAGAACTTTCGGTACGATGATGAACAGTCACAGCTGCTTCATACCCATGCGAATCTTCTTTCCAATTATCCTGAAGTGTATGGTAAGGATGGAGATATTCTGTATCGTTTTGAGCGGCAACGTGTGAGTTGGAAGAAGACGTTGAGTTGCTTCCCTTTTGTGATAATTTGTCTTTCAACTTTTGCTGTTCGTCTTCTTCAGTTGCAAAACACGCATCAAGGTAACCTGTGTCATCATGTCCAGTGCTTTTTGTGGCAGAGTGATTATCTTGTGGAACAAAATAAGTCTTATCATCTGCTAACATGTTCTCGTCAATTTCATCATAGAAGCCACTATACGGAGATTCTATTACTTGTTCCAAAACAAGATCTCCATTTACTAGCATTTCTTTAGAATGTTTTCGTTTTCTGTATGAACGAAATAAATGACTCAAACCCGTCACAATAACAACACCAACAATACATAGCGTATAAATCAACCATTCCATGTTGGAACTTCCTACAAAGGTCAGAAAAGAAAAATTTATGCATAACACAAAAACAAAACTACAGGTTACGGCTAGTGTACTTATTGTGATGCTTTCGTCATATTTCTGCATTTTCTAGTAAACTATAAATACGTTTCCGCGACCAAAAAAAAATATGTATTGACCGTATTGAGGTTTTTTTCCATCAATTTTTTTTCTACATCATAATCAAGCTGCTTGTCTTGTTAAGTGCCTTTTGATAAAGCTGAGCTAAGTATCGCAATATTTACTAATAAAAGCCTAAAGATGGTCTACCAGACGCATGCACATGAATATAACCATGATCATCAATTTTCAAAATACATCAATGAATAATTTATACAAAGCCAAAATATTCTAAACGTGTATCTGATTTATTTTTGTAAACATAGTCATGTTAAAATATTACGTTTCACTGAACTGGTCTTCTTTATTCTGAATGGCATTTTCGTCCAGAGGCAATGATGAATTAATGTCGACATTAAAAGTATTTTGCCTCTCATAACATGCATAATGTTTCGTGAAATTGCAAGACCATCGACACTATAAAGTATTCTCACGAATGTATAAATTTCAAGTCAAGAAGTTTTAAACATTTTGGAATAATATAAGTTATATATAACTATTAAAAGCACAATATATTATTCAAATATCAAAAACATACCTTATAATTTCATACATAATCGTTTTTTTAAATAATAAATAAAAAAACGAAGAATGTGACATTATTATGTCATTGATCAAGTGCTATTATAGGCCAGTATATGTATCAAGGGTACAATGACAACTGCGTTACAGCGCGTGATGTGTTAAGTGTAAACGGTGTGATTACTTTCATTACAAAACATTACAGAAAAAAGTAGAAAATGGAAAACGCGTATTTATATGAAGTGCACACGAAGTTCAAACTGCGTTTAATTTTTGCATCCGTTTGCATGTATGCTCAGTCTTCACCAATTTGTATTAACATATGTAATTGGACGATCTTTTATTGGTGAGATTTAAAATTGTATTCTGTTTTATCAATATGTAAAGAACAGGCAAATGAATGTAATGTTACCTCCACTGCTAATAGAATTTGGCTCCTTAGTAGTGAAGACATTATTAGGAACATCGGTAATAAGTTTGTCAGTTTCAATTTTTCTCGTCGTAGTAATTTCTACAATAAAATCAACAATATCCGTAATTTCGCTGCATAGAATTATATGTTTTAGAATCATAATTTACATTTGTAAACGAAGCAAATCGCCTTTTCAGAATCTAAAGTATTATGAGTAAATTTTCATTTTTTGTACCTCTACCTAACATACGTCTTTTGAAAATTATCATTGTTAATCTTACCCTTTTGGGTACGCTTATGAGAATGACGACTTTCGGTATGTTTTAATTACAGCTAAATCAAAAAAGAATTAAACTGGCTAAAACCTCAGTTCGATGACCTTTATTGTTTCGTCGTTATTTAGCTGTTGATGTCTTTATTGGTTTTTTTATTTTCATGTTTACAGTGTTTATTTTTTTTTTTTTTTTGTATGTGTCGTTCAGTGTATTTAAAAGCGATTAATTGGAAGATCATTTCTTCAACAATGCGCTTGTACTTCCAATTTTACAACTGCGAAATCTGGATTTGAGTCAGTGATAGTTTAAATTGTAGGTTGAAGTTACCAATGAACAAATAAGAATGATAGGACTTAATAAAGGTACAAGACGGGACGTATAGAAGAATATACAAAATGAGGACCAAAAGAAAAAAGACGCAGAGACGAACATTCGTCAATATGACGGACGAAACTCCTAAAAGGGCAACTAGGGGCGACATGAAGTCTCCAACATAAATAAACTCATTATAGATACTAGGATTAAAACTCTGTTTCGCGTTTCGCCTACAAAAGATTCGTAAGTGACGCTCGAATATAACAAATTATCTACACTCTATAATTATTTGTAAAGTGTTGCAAAATTATCCACAAGTTATGAATTGACGGGTATTGCGGATTGAGATTAATGTTAACATCCAGTGGCAAATAGTTCATGCATGTTCAGGGTGAACCTAGCTTATGAGTGAAATTTGTTAATACTTACTACTGTGTATAACAGCTCTCTCTTGTGTAGTGACATGAACACCAGTAGACAATATGACTGCTGAAGTACTTCCTTCTGAAGAAATACCTATAATAAGATAAATAAAATCCTTCTTATGTACTTTGCAACGATTGGGTTTCTTTTAGAATAAGGTTATTAAACTATTTGGTTAGTGTCCCTTTTTATTTTATCATCACAGGTTTAATGTCTATTGAGTATTTGATTTTGTAACCTCTGTGCAGTGGCGGATCCAGGGGGGTGGAGGTTCCGGGAGTTGAAACCCCCCTTTTTTTTACGATCAATGCATTTGAATGGGGACATATAGTTGGAACCCCCCTTTATCTTGGGTTAGGACCCCCCCCCCCCTCCTTTTATAAATGACTGGATCCGCCCCTGCTGTGTCAATGAAAATATACAATGATACTAACTCGATAAAAACAAAATGTTATTCTATTTTCATTTTGCAATTACTCACTCTGAGTGGATACCACTATTGGTGTACGGTCAGTACTTATAGCGATTGTTCGGGGATGGAGCAACAAATAAGTAATAGACATGTATATCTTCTAAACCCAAGGTTTTAACAACCTCTAACAAAATCAGTCTCGGGCTTATTCGCCTATATTTTGATTCTAATAAGAATGTTTTGTTAAGTTACGGTGTCGATATTTTTTTTTTCAAAATGAACACAATTGATAGGAAAATAACATGAACAACAACTGACGAAATCAGACTTCCGAAGTCACATTAAAATAGGGTTACTGGTTTCAATGCTCAAGATGCCGATTTAATACTCAATTAATGAATTCACCTTAATAACATTAACTATACCAACTTTTCTGCTTCAGAAAGGAATTTCGTCAATAATTGTCTCTTCAGTGATGCTCAGGTACAAAATATTTGAAAATTTAAAGCTTATTAAAATATGAAGAGCTTATAATCCAAAAATGACAAAAACATATAACCTAATTCGGGCAAGGAATCAGAGCTTTGAATGAGGGATATACATTGCTTAATTCAATATAAATTTCAAAATTTTGTAACGGCAAATTTTTATAACACAAAATCTGTATTTTCATGCCAGTACCGAAGTACTGGCTACAAAACTACGTTGACCTGTAAATGTGCATATAGTTGATCTTTGGTCTGTACTGATAGTTATCTCATTGGCAATCATACCAACCACAACACCACTTTATGTATAAAATAAGAAGCTGTGATATGATTAGCAACAAGACAACAATCCACCAGGAACGCAATGGCGTTGTAAAGTACTATAAGTCTGCGTAAGATGTTAATGTCAATCGATCACTACTGAACAATATACAGTTAACAAATGTTTAAAATTACTAAAAGCCATGGTTCTGTATGTTTTATTTAATAATCAAAAGGGAAATATAACATACTTATGCAGTGCCTAGTTAAGGCTATATAAAGCTGAAAATATAGAAAAATATGTTCAACTTGTCAATGCCACAATTGTGCCTTCCTTTCAGTATGAATCACAAACTTTGATTTCTCATGTCGGGAGCAACACGGTTGATGTCATTTTGATTTATCTGTGGATTGAATACTATAAATAGTTTAACATTACCTGCATCAGTAGTATTTTCTGTTAAAAAAGATGTATTTGTAATGCATCCAACCACAGCATCGCAACTGTATGAATATAAAAAGAGTGTTTTTTTTATCATTCTTTTAATTTTGGGTATCATAATTTTCAATGTAATAATCATTCCTTTGAACAAATCTTGGTCTTAAACTTTAATCGTGACAGATCTTTCGGCTAACCATTTCTAAAAAGAAAGGCACTAACTTTCTAAGGCCTTAATTCATACTTTTCAACCTTTCAACGTAGGCGTACAATATTGTAATTATCCTTGCTTATGTTACCTCTACGCTAAATCCGTAGGAGGTGTACTGATTTATACCTCAGTCTGTTTTAACATGGATTGTTTATAAGTTGTATTTGGCTTTGATAAAGCGTTCAGTTAGTGAGAGTACTCTTGGATGGGTATAATGTGTTTTTGTCTGTTAGTAGTTTTTATTTTTATTTTATGTGTTTTAGATACGAGTTTATGAGCCAAGCTCTTTCCAATTGTGTTTACAGTTTGTGCTTATGTTGGTTTTTTACACCACTTCCCTATGTTAAGGGAGGATTGAGCGCACACAAACATGTTAACATCCTTCATGCGCCTATCTGAAGCCAGGAACCTATAATACCGTGGATATCTTGGTTGTAGTCTGCCATGTTTGTTTTTCGTTCATTTTTGTTGTATAAATCATACAATTTATTTTCTCTTTTGAACTGTTTTACATTTTATCATTCTAGTATCATAAACATTATAAGCTTACTGTACGGCATGGATTTTTCTTATTTTCTTTTTGAATGACGTACGATCACTATTCATCTTTGTCATTTTGTCTTAATGGAGAAGTGTCTCATTCGCATGCATGAGGTATTATATATCATATCTTTTTTATATACCTGTGGAGATGATCACAATTACAGGTTGCTATGCACTTGTAACCAAACATATTCTCTTTACATGGTTTACATTGACCCCCAGCTTCAGCACTCGTTCCATTTCTGCATTCTGTCCAAAGAAAAGGTTCATGCTATAATGAATGCAAAATGTAAAGGTTGCATTTCTAACGTACTTTGATAAATATGATTTTTAATGTTTTACAGATAATAGCGATATGTTCCTAATGTCGTAACTACAATCCCGTCCCCTTTTCCGCGAATGAGACCTACCGAATAAGACTAATTACCGGGTTTCTACTAATATGAGCCACACGACGGGTGAAGCAGGATCTGCTTACCCTTCCGGAGCACCTAAAATTACCCCCAGTTTTTGGTGGGGTTCGTGTAGCATTTGTCACTGTTTTCTTGAGAGAAAAAAAACAGGCATGTTTTTGGGGCCCTTTATAGCTTGCTGTTCGGTGTGAGCAAATGCTCCGTGTTGAAGGCCGTACCTTGACCTATAATGGTTTACTTTTATAAATTGTAACTTGGATGGAGAGTTGTCTCATTGGCACTCATACCACATCTTCCTATATCTATGAACTATATTTTTTATCAGTCACAAGTTTCACATGGCACCCAATTGCAAATGGTATTTTAAGAAAAAGTACTTTGTTATTCATATAAATGTACCTAGCAGTCATATATAATCAGGTGCCATTGCACCAGAAGTGATAAAGTCTAATAATTTAGTGACGGGGAAATATTTACTTCATGAAAGAGTTCTTATCGTTTTAATTGTTATTGTTTTATTAGTAAATGCAATTAGAGAGTTGTTATTATTGCATACAATTATGACCTTCATCCAAAAATATGAAACCGAGAAAAGGTCATTTCCTGATGTCAATAGTACCATAGACACTTGTCTCTGTAAAACATATAAAGTTAAGTAAATGTATAAAGGTATATTTAACAGAAACAATTGCTTGAACCGGGGGAAAAATAAAAAAATTTAAAAGATATGATAATATGTATTATCGTCTTTAATGAAAGACATGCCCATGTGCAGTTTGCCGAAGAAAAAAATGGTTGTTTTGTTGATGGAAAGAAAAATGTACAGTAACGTCTAAGATTTTTTCATATTTTGTAAGCGGTTATTACAGTAAAGTACATTTAATAAATTATTATTATTGCTTTTAGATTATAATGATCATTATTATAAGTAGTCAATGCTTTCAATATTTACATCATATTTACATTCGCTTATATTAAAATTTAATGTAGAATTTGGTCCATTTGAATAATTAAATGAAGAGGACGTTAATTTCAGTAACATCATAATGGCAATAATAAAATCAAACACAGTTGGACATCAATATTCCGAAGGATGGTTAAAGTTTGAGTTTATTGTATCATTTTCACGTGCAAGTCAGTAAAACGGAAATTAGACAATGAATAGCAAAATAATAATACATGACGTTCAGGATGGTTTGCATTGTTGTCTACTTGTAACAGGAAACATTTCATTTAATAATTATTAATTTATAAGTATTGCAGTGTTGTCAAAAGTTGGTATATAGATAAATAATAATAATTAAAAGTACTTGACCTCAGATTTTGACAAACGTTATAATGATATTATAGGTTTAATATAGATTGTCATGAGATAAACATCATATTTAGATCAAAGTTTTGATAGAAATATATTAGGAACAAAACAGGGTAAACGCCATCAACATGAATAAGATTTAAAGACATAAAAAAGTTAAACCATACAGTTCATGATAGGATAGATGCTCAACAATAGACGGATGTATATATATAATATGCGCCGATGGTCTTGATGGAGTGTACAGAACAGATTCTGAGAATAATGGTCAAAAAGTGCAGAATAAGTGGTCCAAAAAATAAAGAATAGAAAAGAATAGTGCAAAAAACACAGAATACAGAATAATGTGTGCTTATATATACACACATGTATAGAGAATAATGAGCAAAAATAAAAAGAATAGAGACAAATGACCTAAAAAATTAAAGAATACAGAAATAAAGGACCTCTCATCCAGACCCTCATATGTGTCAAGCTGTGCGACGGTAACAAATCGGATGGAAAATCGTACCGTGTATAAATTTAACAAAAACTATCATATCTGCTACAATTTATCAACACCGTCCGGAATCTACAAATGCTACATCTCCCACTGTCTATATTACTCAGCTCAGCTCTTAATAAAATTGCATATCACGGCTTTGCGATGTCAAAGCTCGAGGCTCGAGGTCTGATATTAACCGAGGTCTGACGATAATTCATCCGATATGAAAAATGACATGTTGTGATCTTTTTATCATATGCTTCAACAATGGAGAGAACAACAGATTAATATATTGATCCTTTTAAGTAGTTCTCAAGTAGAAGTTGAAAAAGTGAAAAGTTTACGGACGACGGACGCAACATGTAATACATCCGATATGAAATCTTTCTAGCATATGTCTCAACAAAGAAAAACAGTATAATATATAATTATATTGACGATAAAAAAAACTTGAGGGATTCTGATATGAAAAAATGTCATCTAATTCTTTTTATCATATACTTAGAGTAAATAACTTATAAATTTTACAGTTAGATAATAGCATTAAATTTACGTGAATACCATATTTTCCGAAACTGTGTTTAGCGGGCTGATATGAAATATTTATCACATGCTTCCGACTATTATCACATGCCTTTCCGTAACGTTATCGCATGGCGGCATTTCGGCATGACTCGGCAAATTCCGGAAAATACACCTCAATGCCACGTTTTCATCATTATGAAAAAAATGGAATTTACGCAAATTTAATGCTATTATCATACTGTTAAAATTATAAGTCATTTGCTGTAAGTATATGATAAATAGAGAATATGATATGGATTTTTCAATATCACATCCGTATCAACCCGAGACATCAATATAATCCCAAGAGCTCTACTCGATGGATTATATTGGTTGAGGGTTGATACAGTGTGTGATATTGAAAAAGCCATATCATATACACTTTATTATATACCTCACATAGATGTTTTTTATGTGACATGACGTCATACAGATTAGGGATTTTGATAAAGCATTTGCAACAGTGACTGACATCGATGACGTGACGTCAAACAGTTTAAGGTGTGATAAAGCCTTTGCAACCGTGACTGATATCGATATCATCACGGATAGCTGATACAGCACGATTGCCATTGACCATATTACACACACAATTTATCTGTATTTACTACTAAGTATATTATAATAATGTAAAATATCAACTGCTCGATACAATATGAAGCCTTTTTGAATTCGCTCGTTGCGCTCACTCGACAGACATCCTGATAATCGGTACATACTAGTTAACAAAAAAAAAAACGATACACGATTTTAGAAATCTATTTTTTTCTTCTTCAGTACTACAGATGAATAACAATAAACGTTAACAAAATGATCAATAATAATATGGAATCAAGAATGAGATGGGCAAAATTGAAAATGTTCAAGACTTCGTCATTTTAAGTTTCCTTTGCCTATATATATCACCCAGCTCAGACGTGAACAGAACTTATCAATGACGTCATAGTGTATGAGGAGAGGTTATTTGAGACGCCACAAAAGTGTGATGAGACGTTTAATATCAGACTTACTTTCTTCAAGTGTAGAATTGTCTAAGGAAGGGGAAAACCATCAACAGATTATCAGGTTTTCTGCGAATAAATGAGGTAAATTTTTAGCCACCGCTCGACACATTGTAGCTCGTGTTTGATATTTTACGATATTAGTAAGTAGAAAATCCGATAATCGATACACATATATAACACTTACGTTTACACACGCCATTTACCTCTTCGTGGTTGTAGCAGCATTTTGTGCTTCTGCAATGAAAATGAAAATTAATAAGCATTATTGAGCTTTCAAAAAAGCTGCACTTGAAGAAAAAGTTATTCTAAAAATGCTATAAAGACTATTCAAGTTCAATGTCTATTTCTTCTGTTACTTTATATATATTCAAAGCAATCTTTACCTAGAAGCTCGTACTAGCTATTGTTTATAATTGTTGAATATATATTTAAATCGTCCTCCTCTGACAAATCTATAGAAACCCAAATCCTTGCCCAATTTAGGATTTAACTGTTGAGTTAAGTAAAGGTGTGCTCGATCGCAAGTATATATTCTACCGACTTTGCAAAAGATGTAGAATTTCATTGTTCATGAACATTGTAGGTACCTTGTTTGCCTTTAATGTCTTTACACGCGTCCAGAATGATAAATTGATCGTGTTTTGCTTAACATGTCGTAGGATATATTTCATACATACCCAGGACGACAACAAATTGAATAATTCATCAAATAAAAAGTCTATTACAAACGTGAATGTACATGTATCAACATAGTCGAATTTTGAATTGCCACTGAACAAATTAAAGAACCTTAGTGATAGAGCGCGCTCACATACCCCACGTCTCCACATTGTCATTGGAGAAATAAAATAAGTGTAAGAAAAAAAAAATTGTATCAGAAAAAAAAAATTGAATCATAATTTCCTGTCAATATGCACATCTACATAGTATGTCCTTATTATCTACACAGTTTCATGAAATTCTGTTGTGTGGTTTGAGAGGAGTTGCGATGACAAAAGGTTGCAGTAGTATATTGGGCAAATAAGTTCAAAGGGGCATAACTCCTGGAAAAAAAATTGAATCGTAATTTCCTGTCGATATGCACATCTACGTAGTATGTCCTTATTATCTGAAAAGGTTTCATGAAATTCTGTTGTGTGGTTTGAGAGGAGTTGCGATGACAAAAGGTTGCAGTAGTATATTGGGCAAATAAGTTCAAAGGGGCGTAACTCCTGGAAAAAAAATTGAATCGTAATTTCCTGTCGATATGCACATCTACGTAGTATGTCCTTATTATCTGAAAAGGTTTCATGAAATTCTGTTGTGTGGTTTGAGAGGAGTTGCGATGACAAAAGGTTGCAGTAGTATATTGGGCAAATAAGTTCAAAGGGGCGTAACTCCTGGAAAAACAATTGAATCTTAATTACCTGTCAATATGCACATCTACGTAGTATGTCGTTATTATCTGAAAAGGTTTCATGAAATTCTGTTGTGTGGTTTGAGAGGAGTTGCGATGACAAACTGTTGCAGTAGTACATTAAAGTAAATAAGTTCAAAGGGGCGTAACTCCTAGAAAAAAAATTGAATCGTAATTTCCTGTCGATATGCACAACTACATAGTATGTCCTTATTATCTAAAAAGGTTTCGTGAAATTCTGTTGTGTGGTTTGAGAGGAGTTGCGATGACAAGAAATAGGACTGACGGACTGACGGACTGACGGACTGACGGACTGACGGACTGACAGACGGACAGACGGACAGACGGACGGACGGGTCAAAAACATTATACCCTCCGCAACTCGTTGCGTGGGGTATAATTAGAATGTTGGTTAGAGGCTGACATTTTGCCTTCAAACATGACACCTATATATATGTGCTTTAAGGGGTTTTAGTTTCTAAGCATACAGACAGTATGGCATTATTCCGATATGATTATATGTTTATTTATACAATCCTCTCTGTCGACGAACCTTCGAATAACGTATGCCTTTTTACCTGTTGACAAGACAGTCAACAACGTTTTCTTTGACGTAGGTATTATGCTGAATTACTCAAAAATGAGAACAAAAATTCCAGCATTATATTATATGAGATATCTTGAAATTCGAATAAATAGTAAAACGGCTTGCCATACTCATAGTATATATATAAGGAGCATTTACTATATTACTGGTTGTAAAAACAAAAATCTTTGGAACGTTCCCTTGAAGGTCAGTTTGTCTCTGTTTAAAGTTATACCGAAATAATAATTTGTTTCTAATACTTCACTACCGCATAAAACAATCTAGAATGTTTCATATGGAACGCCATGACTGCCTTATGTTGATGATCATCATTATATGCAGTGGTCACAGCATTATATGCAGCCGTGAAAGCATTATATGCAGTGGTCAAAACATTATATGCAGTGGTCACAACATTATATGCAATGGTCACAACATTATATGCAGTCGTGACCACATTATATGCAGTCGTAACAACATTATATGCAGTTGTCAGAACATTATATTTAGTGGTTACAACATTATATGCAGTGGTCACAACATTATGCAGTCGTGGTAACATTATATGCAGTTGTCGGAAAATTATATGCATTACATTATACGTGTTTTGTTGGTAAAGGCAATGATCGGTGATCGATGATGATTGATGATAGTGATGGTGGTGGTTCAAATTCGGTAAATTCGTAAATTTTTTATCGGAAATTGCAGAATCCAGTCATAATTGATAATGCCCCGCAAACAAAACGAAACAGTTATTGATAACACCTGCTATTGTCTGCAAATTGGACAGACATTATTTTATCCATTTAGGGGTTATTCATTCCAAGGAAATGATGAAACTAAAAATTGAATGCATTAATTATAGTTCTATTTATCTTAAGAAATACGCACGGCATAATGTAATTTAACAATAATGAATGATAATAATGAAACATTGAATGGCATTTGTATACTGTATGTCTCGAGTTCATTTCATATTGAACAACTATATGCCACTTAGAGTCTTTAGTCAATATTCAGTGCCGTATTTCATATATATACTAGTCAACAAAATAAACGATACATGGCAATGTATTTTCCTTATACAATGAAATTGAATTTTTTGCAATTTTTGTTGTTTCATAATTTATATTTTCACCCAAAAATTCAAAAATCGATATTAGAACTTAAAACTTTAAACTTAAACATGGTCTGCTTAAAATTTTGACTGTCTTTGCAGATATTTGAATACTTAATTCTCATCTTCGAAATTAAGTGCCGACTTTTGTCATCATTTTCCCCAAAATAAATGTGACCCCTATGTGCAATAACACGGTATTTTCTCTCTTTCCAATTTGGTCAGATTCTTTTAATCATATGTATTTGCTTTGCAAATGAATGTTTTTCATTTGATAGTTTAACAGTTTTCCCTATTTGTTATATTATATGATAAATTGGACTTCAAACTTGTGTATCGTTACTTTTGTTGACTAGTATATGTAAGACTCAGATCGACGTTCACCGGGAACCTATGATCGAGGTCCGTTTCTCAAATCATGTGGTGCCATGACTGTACACCAAAACTATTACTGGGAGTCTCCTCTTTTCGATGTCTTATATGATTTGATCATTTGTTCCCACTTTGATCTTTTATTTTATTTTCTCTGAAGTGAACGTTTTGTTTTCGTATAATGCTGTCCAAATATACAAATATTTGTTTTAATATTTTATACATATCACAATGGCTTATGTAAAGGAACAATAAAGGATAAAGCATCCCGTCGCATAGAACGAACTAAAACAAATTAAAAAAACGAACATGGATAAATGACAACCGGTCAACCACAGACAGCAGATTCTGCACTTGGACAGAAATATTTGTGTACATGAAACACGTCGATCCACTCAATCTACATACGATGTCTCATTCCTATCATATTCATATGAAAAAAGGAGATATGGATACACGTTAATGAGGCAGCAACCCAACGACAAAGACAACCGTACAACACTAGAGTCATACAGTCGGTAACAATAGACAGCTATATATACAATATATAAAACTCTGAATTGAAATAAGGAAATTAGAAAGTAGGAACAATTTACCAAGAAATTATTCCACGTCAGGGGCATCTTTAATGTCACTTTATCGTATTTCAATGATTAGTATCATAACTTAACATGTTTATACTTTAAGTATTTAAAAACATATATAATTATGCATTTCTGAACGTTTAATCCCAAATAAACATCTTCAGATTACTCGGGACTGCAATTTAGATATATCATGACCCAGTATTTTTCAAGGAGAACCAAATATCTGTCAGAAGTAAATTATGTATTGCATTTTGGAAACAAATTAATTTATGTTGGTCAGCGATGTCATTCGAAATAGAATTTTAATAAAACATATAAGATTTGCAATATTGTTTTAAAAAATTCATGGAACAGCAATTTGTAGTGCAAAATAACTATTTTATGAATGAAAATCTTTTTTAAGTATATAATTCGGACTATGCAATATATAAAAATCCAATTCCGATTTTTACCCCGTGAGTGAAACATATGCAGGAGATAGAAGCCCACAGAAACAATCAAGATCTACCATCAAAAGTAAAGTTTCTAGATAACGAAACATATTCAGATATGAAATTTTCAAGTTGCAACTTCTGACAAGGATCCTAACATGGGATAGGGAAAACATTTTGTTAGCAAAAATAACTGAAATCCCCAGACTATAGCAACAAGACAAGCTTGTATGTGAGAAGAATTAGAACGCCAATAACAACAACGAGAAGAATTCACAGTAAAACAATAGCTCTCCATTAAGAGACATAATAAGGAGTGGCGAGTTTTGTTTTTGTTGTTGTTGTAGAGTATATATAATTTTAAAACACTAGCCTAGCGCCTGTGTGTTGAGGTGACAAAATTATTGTGCGGACCTTCATTAATATCAAAGAAGTGCTCAGTAAAGAAGTGCTCAGTAACAAATATTATTTCTCTTTTACTTGTAGTTGATTTCATCTGGACCTTAACACAAATTTTAATCAAATCATTCATGCGAAAAATATGGGTCGAGGTGACCAGCTTTTTTCAAGGTCCTTTGTTGTTATCACAGATGTGCGATCTAAAAGATATCATTCCTCTATAACTTGTAGTTGATGAGATTTTGTATTCTAATGCAAAACTTAACCAGAATTAAATTAGGTCGAGGTGACCCAATTTTTTCATGGACATTCGTTACTATTCAAGATGTGCGCACTAATAGTAAATCATTCCTCTTTGACTCGCAGTTTGTTCCGATCTTGACCTTAAAACGCAAAACTTAGGCCGTAAGTTTTCTCAATTGAATTGTTTCATATTTTTCATGTTGGGGTCTTTTATAGCCGACTATACAGTATGGGCTTCTCATTGTTGAAGGCCGTACGGTTGCCTATAATTGCTTACATCCACTTCATTTGAGCTCGTGGATAGTTGTTTCATTGGCAATCATACCACATCTCCTTATTTTTATATAAACCGTGACAGAAAGACAAACAAACGTAGTAAACGCAATATCCACTCCCAAACTCCGTTTTCCGAAGGGATGATAAAGAGATGATGACTATAAATAAAAATGTTAAACTGGGCCTGAAAAAGGGTACATTTTCCTAATAAAAGTTTATATTTTGATATGAGCATCAACTATAACCCAAAAAGATCTTTATCTGAAGTTGTAAAATATGATCGATGCTTTCATATATGATTATATATCTCTTTGGTTAAGGCTGCTGCTCATATTTAGTAGACAAACTGCTTTACGTGCTAAAGCTTGCAAAAGTTGGATACAATTGATGTAAAGTTATATTAAACACCTACAATGAAAGGCTTTAAACTGCATTTTTCATATCTGTTAGATACTAAATCATGTAAAGATGTATAATTCTGAAAATCAAAGCCAAATAATGGCTCTATCATGACATATATAAGCTGGCGAGATATGGGACTTTGGTCTTATAGACAGCTGACTATTTTATTCAAAATGTATTTATGCCATTTAAACTGAACATCGACTATAAAGTGGCACCTAGCAATAGTTCTTCAGTAGGAAATGAACTCGAACCATATAGTATACAAGCTGTCTTTTGATATTTCATTTTTATTAATCATTATTTTACTTACATTATGCCATGTGTATTTCTTAAGACGAACAGAACTAGTTAATGCATTCAATTCTTAGTTTCATCATTTCATCAGAATGAACTACCACTAAATTTATAAAATTATGTCTGTCCAATTTGCAGACAATAGCGGGCGTTATTTTTTCTCTGATAAAGTTTTCAATCGAATTGCCTAAATTACATGACTTCAATAACTGTTTCATTTTGTTTGCGGGGCATTATCAATTATGACTGGATTCGGCAATTTCCGATAAAAAATTTACGAAGTTTACCGAATTTGAACCACCACCATCACTATCATCAATAATCATCATCACTATCACTGATCATCACCATCACTAACAAAATACGTATAATATTGTGACCACTGCATATATAATGTTCCGACAACTGCATATAATGTTACCACGACTGCATATAATGTTGTGACCACTGCATATAATGTTGTACATGTAACCACTACATATAATATTCCGACAACTGCATATAATGTTGTGACCACTGCAATAATGTTCCGACAACTGCATATAATGTTACCACGGCTGCATATAATGTTGTGACCACTGCATATAATGTTGTAACCACTACATATAATGTTCCGACAACTGCATACAATGTTGTGACCACTGCATATAATGTTGTGACCACTGCGTATAATGTTTTGACCACTGCATATAATGCTTTCAAGACTGCATATTATGCTGTGACCACTGCATATAATGTTTTGACCACTGCATATAATGCTTTCATGACTGCATATAATGCTTTCAAGACTGCATATAATGTTGTGACCACTGCGTATAATGTTTTGACCACTGCATATAATGCTTTCAAGACTGCATATAATGCTGTGACCACTGCGTATAATGATGATCATCACCATAAGGCAGTCATGGCGTTCCATAGTTTCAAATATTCAATAACATGGTCTTAGTTTGATTAATCTGGATTTATCTGTATTTGTTTATAATAATAGACTTATGGGTTTTTGACAAGAACATAAAGAATAATCTTCCCCTAAGAGTACTCCAAGTTGCAGTAGGCTAGTTTGGTACCAAATGTTAACTACTAAATAAACTTTCCTCACGAAATGTTCATTAGAATACCTCGAACGGATTTCGTATAAAGCGATCAAAATCAGTATAAGAAAAACATTGCCTTGTTCAATGCTTAAATATAAGTATATTGTCAGTATGTAGAGCCATATGATGAGTGTTTAAATCTGGGTGACAATACATGTAAAGCAATTATTTAAAATAAAGTTTATATTCAATGATCTTACTTCAATATTAGATTCGTAGCTCAAAGGACCATTGGCAAGGAGTTAAGATAGATTGCATCTTAATTTACGAGCTCTATAAACAACGCAACTGTAAGGATGTTGATGTTTTCATAACAGATTTTTTTCTGATCGCAAAAATATATCTTTAATGATGAAAAGATTGAAGCAGGATACATGTATGCTCTAATTTGCCTAATTTTTCATAGGTTAACCTTTTTTGTATTTTTTATTTCTACAGACATCATGTGGTTTAATAAAAAAAAATCTTGGTAAAATCACTCGAAAAGACTCGCAGGTGCATCTATTCTTTTATTCGTTGTTTCTATATTATTTTTCACATACAGTTCGCAAGTACATGAAAATTGAATCTCTTCAATTATTCCCGTAATAAAATGTTTGTTAACATTTCACAATCACTGGAAAGCCTGTCTTTGTTACTATTCAAGATGTTACTTTTCAAATGGGTGGGGTGGGGGTGTTACTTTTCAGTGGGGAACAAATTGCACTTCAAAAGACGAGATGACCAAATCCGATGCCCCGTGTAAGGAGAGTTCCATGCTCTTTGCACATTAAAGAACGCATTCAACAACTCTCCGAGGGGTCAGTAGATGGCCTGTTGCAAGGCAAAGATTCAGTCTCTATCAAACCTACCCTTTTTCAAGGCAGTCAAAATTTCCCAGCCTTTATCCTAGTCGATATACCTCTCAGAACCTTCTTATTGTGTTAATTTGTTGTCGTCCTGAAAATGCATGAAATAATTGCCACTGGACATTAGGCACAATCAATTAATCAATCACATAAGTATTTCGGTTTGCGCTTTGCAGATGAAGGTAAATCCAATAAAGTGCTTCAGGAGAACTAAGTTAATTAGTTTATAGAGTGTTATTTTGATTTACTAGATATTTGAATGAAGTCTTACCCTGTAGTGGCATTTTTGCAAAATGTACCATCAAGTTGTAAAGAATTTCCAATTCCAAATATTAAAATTAATATAACTGTGAACTCCATTTTTTTTATTTCAAATTCAGAATTTGATACATTGATCACCGGAAATGAATTTTATAGAAGTGCTTAAATCATTCAATTGCGGAAGAACAACATGCGTTGTCATTATTTGTTACTCCATTCATTTAATTTTCCGTCCGCGTGCAAGGTGGTTATTCTACTTTGTATGGTTATTGTATGAAACTGAACATGGAAAAAATCGTTTCAAAAAGCTTTCTTTTCTTATTGCATAAGACTATAATGCAACCAAGCATGCCATATTGGACGGCGATTTATTTTCGCGATTTTCTGCAGTAAATTTTATATGGCTTGATATAAGAAGAGATGCAAGTTTGATATATTCACTAACATCGTTTTTTTTTCTCCTTGCGCAAGTTAGAATGTTACAGAATTATTTTTTCTATATATGTGAGTATTCGTGTCTTGTTGTATATTCTTTTCGTGTTTAATTGGGATTTGTCAAATTCAAAAGATGTCGACCCTTTTGAATAATGTAACAAGATACACACTTTCTATATAGTTATGCCAATATTATGCATTCACAGAGATAAAAAAAACCGTTTTCCGACTTATTTGATCAACAAAAGTTATTTAAGTTGCAACTCCTTCGTGCAATATTGACTTTTAGACTGTTGTGACTGTTCATTATACCTATTTGGTTTTTGTGCAATCAAATCTTAATTGTCTTTGGATATCACACCTTTTGTTCTCTGGCAAACCGGTGGAGATTTGTCCATCAACATAGTGTGCTGGACGCACTGATATTAAATCAAGGAAAAATGACAGTTTATTGCGCACTGAATCGGTATCACAGCTGTATAACGGTATAACATGTACTATGTATAAGCTAATAATTTCAGGAATTATCCATTTAATATGAATAAGAAGATGTGGTATGAGTGCCAATGAGACAAATCTCCATACAAGTCACAATGTATAAAAAGTTAACAACTATAGGTCAAAGTACGGCCTTCAACACGGAGCCTTGGCTCACACCGGACAGCAAGCTATAAAGGGCGCCAAAATGACTAGTGTAAAACAATTCAAACAGGAAAACCAACGGTCTAATCTATATTAAAAACAAGAAACGAGAAACACTTATGAACCACACTAACAAACGACAACCACTGAACAACAGGCTCCTGACTTAGGACAGATGCATAAAAATGCAGCGGGTTTAAACATTCTTTTTGGCTTGATGTACTTTTTTGTGATAATTATGATTATACTGTTTTGTTCAATCATTGTGTCTGGGATTAACATTTGTAGCAGGATTTGCTAAACCTTTCGGGAGCAGGTTTTGCTTACCCTTACACCGTATATCAACCCTAGTTTTTTTTGTAATGTTTGTTTTTCTGACAGTCTTACGTTTCTATGTAGTGTTTTGCAGACTGGTGTGTGTCTTTTCGTTGTTATTTGCTATGATTTGATCGGCCTCTTGTGAGTCTTGTTTCTCTCTGAGGTATCTTCCGCCTCTGTTTTTGTTTAGTATTGGTTTCATTTGCCGGCGGTTTTTTTTTATGTTTTATTCGTGTTTTATAGAGTCAAGTGTACTTCCTAGACTAGTTATGTTGGACGTTCCTAAATTTACCTGTTATTTCTTCACTGATTAAGAAAAATGATTAAGATTAATTAGTGAAAGGGTGAAGATCTCAATATAAAAAGGTTAAGCATCGCCACATATTCGTGTGATAGTCCTAAGTCAAGAGTCTCGCCACTGGTTATCTTTTATTGTATTATTATAGCTATCATTTAGGGAGTTTAGGAGGGTCTGGATGGGGTTCTTCATTTTCGTATTCTTTAATTTTGTATGCCATTTTTCTCTTTTCTTCATTGTTTGTGTTCATTATTATCTATTCTTTATATCTTAGCACCTTTATTCTTTTTGTTTTCACCATTATGCTCTATTCTGTAAAGTCCTACCAGATCCACATTTAGTGTTGATAGCAGATATTTGATAGTCTCAATTAAATTGATAATCGCTATTTTTCTTGACTAGGGGGGAATACTGTTAACAGTTCACCATATTGCATAGACACTTGTCAATTGTTGAAGACAGTTTGTTAACTTCTAGATGTTTTTGTCGTTGGATTGCTGTCTAATTGGGGGATACTCTAAATAACTTTTTATTCAGGCATTTAAAGCATGAACCGTTTCTTTAACTTTTCTTTATTCAAATGTAAACTAACGAGAAAATAATTTTTAAATAATTTTTAATAATGTACATTTAACATTAAATTAATTTTTAAAAAAAATTAAAAAAACATTTCACCATAAAATACACGAATTCTTCCAGTTTATGCTTCTCGGGTACACTTTATTTAGGCTAATTTGTTGCAAAAACAAAATCGATAAAAAATAAAGAACAAATACATTGCATATATGCCGCCATCTTTCATGTAAACAGAAATAATAAATTCAAACAAAGGATTTTAGTTTATTGTCAAACAGATGAGATACATATATTGTAGGCTCTCCAAAATAACAGTGACTATGTTGTAATCGCGGTCATATTTATGAATTTCCACGTGGTTTGCAAATAATGAACTTGTGGGTGTGGTCATAGAACATTGCCCATCTTCTTCTCATCGATTTAGCCCTGTAAGGAATTGAACAAGTCTTGGAATAGAGGTTAAAGACGTCGCTCAGATCATTCAAACCTGGACCATACCATCCGGACCAAGAACCATTAAACCAACGTATCTTGTATGCTAAAATCCGTCCTTTTTCGATCATCTGGTCAACCATATCTAAGCCAGCTGGCCATCGACAGTCCCTGGTCGGACCGCGTGTAACTTCCGTGCACTTAGCCTACAATATAAATATATATTATCAAATAATTATTTCTGTGACTGCATCTTACGATCCTTTACGACAGATAATTTAGCTAATCTGCAATCAATTTCATCTTCATGCCTAATATATCATGTACTGTGTTACAACTCTAGATTCTACTGACGAGGAAAGGTAACGCTAGGCCACCGAAAGCTGAATTTTAGTTCAGTCTAGGTGGCCGAGTGGTCTAGAGCGCTGGACACAGTGCAGGCGGTGTTGTCTCGATATCTCAAATTGTAGTGCTGAGTAATTGTGTATATATATATATATATAAATTTGAAAGAGGTCTACTTTCATTCTTCAATATTTTTCATCTTTGTTTTCAATCAGTTCATTTTTTTCATCATGTGAAATATATATTTCTACGGTATTTTAGTTTCTATTAAGTTTTATTTAATAGTTCACGTTGACATTGTGATAAAACTATTTTGCGCCATATATATGTTTTATTGGTATTGTTCGCATTGAAAACGTAAATACATACGTAAGAGTTGTTGAAAGAAATATGATAGATATTCCCAAATAAATTTAATCAATTAAAACAGTCAGATATATTTTTGAACCATACGAAAACTGAATTGATGATTGTTATTTGCTTAACGTCCAGTAGGAAATATTTCATGCATGTTCATGACGAGAACAAATAAACAATAACTACAAATAGGTAGGTCATGTAATACGTGTCGATCAGGGTTAAAGGGTGAGAAATTTGGAATGTCACTGTAAAATGAGGATATATCCAAGCACCACTGATGAATCTTGTATATGTAGACGAAACGCGCGTTTGGCGTACAAAATTATAAACCTGGTATCGATATAGACAAAAAACAATCCTTGCAACAGGTCACCTACTGACCCCTCAAATGAGGGTCTGGATGGGGTTAAGGAAATAGAGAATAATGGCACCAAGAAATAAAGAATAGAGAAAAATTAGCAAAAAAATATAAAGAATAGAGAATAATGGGGTGCAAAAGAATAAAAAATAACTAAAAAAATAAAAGGATTAGGTAATATAATATTGATTTCAGAAATGAACGGTTTACAGAATAAAGAAATCATTTAATTACAGAAAGATATAATTATAGTAAACTTATTTTCATGACATTTTCGCAGAAAAAGCATTATTTTTAAAGATAAAGAAAAATGCCTTAAAGATTTAAAGAATAAAGAAATCAAGGACCCCCATCTAGACACTCTCAAACAGTTGTTGAAATAGTTTCTTAACGTATAGAGAGCGTGGTATTCTCTCTATACATGAGGGATCGGACTTATAAACGTCTCCATCCCGACCAGGCGCGATAACTGAAAGTGGTACGACTGTTCTTAGACATCATACACTGGAATCCGCTAGTATTACGCTACACTAAAAGTGTAGTCGTCAGCCGAGAACCAGCTTAAGACAATCATTCACTCAGACGAATTTGAAATGTACGTTCCTATTAGACCTTATGTAGCGATGATCGAGATAGAAAAAAATGCATGGACGATTGCTTGAAAGTTTTACCAAATTTTTACTACCCCTCCTTTTCAATTTGAACCACCTTGTCCCTTTATTTCATAAATTTCTTGATTCCTCAATTGTGGAAATTTCGACGAAATCAAAATCATGATAACATACGTACACTTTGCATATGTATGTGTTAACCCTTGGATAGTTTAACTTTAAACTGCAGAAGGAGTTAGCTCGACAAACCATGATGTATTACACGCATAATTTGATAATAAACCATTAACAAAGTTCAACATCCTGCATGTCATTTATGAAAGATTTAAGGAAAACATAAACATAAATATAAGTAGAATTTAGGCGGACGAACCAAAAACCCTGCATGCTATTTTACAAAAAATGACAAAGTCCAGCATCTTGTCATTTGTTGCAAATTTAAGAATATCAAAATCCTGATAACATGCACACTTTTAGTATATGTACCAACATCATACTTATAACATAAATTCTAGTTTAAAAACTGACCGAGGATTTAGCCCGACGAACCATAACATCAATATTGGACGGAAGGACGGACGAACGGACGGGTGGGCAGGGTTATAACAATATGCCCCGACATCTTTTGTCACGGACCATTACACTGTTTGTCCTTCATCGAGTATAGCTATATAGATTTGGAATTCGGCAAATGACACAGACAAATGTCTTTTGACGAGGACCGCATTTTTAAATATAGATATCCTTTGATTGCTGTCTCGTTGAACAAGATTTGGGTTTATTCTACATAAATTTTTGACAAAGAATTCGCGAATTCAAAATGTTAAGATCATTGAAATACAAATATTGTACTCAAAATCAGTCGTTGTACTTCCGAATATATTTGATACCACAACGAAATAAGCAGTGCAGAAAGCAGCATATACAAATAATTGTTCACATTAATTCAATGCTAAACAGATAACAAAATATGCTTGTCCACAAACTAATAAATCCCGTTAAAGTGTAAAACCAAAATAAGCGACAGAAGCAAACACATTTTTTTTTCATTTAAAAATATATACAAACAGAAAAAGTAATTAAAAGCATGCAGTTATCAACAAACCTGGGTTTTAACATTATAGATTATCCCATCTCTTCTGCGAGCTAAAACAAAAGCTATACAAGTTAGCAAATATATCGCCGAGGTCGAAAACATTGTATAAATGTGCACGAAGTAGACAGTCAGTTATTTTAAATATATTTAATTTATTCAATTTGGCTTTTATACCTTAAAAATGTTGAAAACAGTGCGTAGTTAGTAAGGAAAAGGAAGAAAAACAGGATAAACGGACATGTCTGTCGATGTGCGTAGTTATTATATAAGTTATTTGTCTTTTCAAATTTATGTTGTGTATGCATACATTTTTTTATATCAATTTCAACCTGATATTACTATAACACATGTGTTATAGTAAACTCAGTTTCAACTTGGCAAGCTTAAATGATGCTATTAGACTATAAGTATAACGAAACTAGAAAAGACATAGTTATATTTCAAATGTGTTAAACATACATATTTAACATAAGCCTTAAGTCAGTGGTTGTCGTTTGTTGTTGTATATCATATTTTTTTTTCGTTCATTATTTTGTACATAAATCTAGCCGTTAGTTTTCTCCTTTGAATTTTTTTACATTTGTCATTTCGGGGCCAATTTTAGCTGACTATGCGGTATGGGTTTTACTCATTGTTGAAGGCCGTACGGTGACCTATAGTTGTTAAATTCTGTGACCTTTGGTCTCTTGTGGAGAGTTGTCTCATTTGCAATCATACCAAATTTTTTTTTATATATTATATATGTTACAGTACATATTGAAATTCAGTAAGATCCAGAATCCTCAAAGTATAGAAATCGGAATTCCAATATCTACTAGAGGGAATTGGAATTTTGATTTATTCTAATTAAAAGCCGGACTGAGTACAAATTATAATTACATATTGTGATTATAGTACTAATTGGGATATTCAGGTTTGTACCAGGAGGATCCTGGATTGTCCTAGATGAATAATAAAAAAGACACAAAAATGAAATTATTTGGATTTTTCTTGATTATATATTTATAGTGTAGTTTTTTGTTGTGTCATTGATGTATAACCCACATCTGTTTTTATTCACATATGTTTAATTTCCTTGATTTTAATTATTGTCAGTTTCCTGAATGTTAATGGTCGTTTCCTTGGTAACAACATACTATGGAAACCAGGGACAAGAGATATGTTATGTTTATAACGAAATCAAATTCACTGACACAAATGCAAATTGGGATATTTCGAAGGCATTTAATCATAAGCAAATTAAATTGCTCTGTAATGCCTTTGGGATAAAGTACGATAAATCGAACATTTTGTTATAATAGAAAAAAAACAAAAGATATGGGTTATCCATCCATGACACAAAATCAGTACATGCACAGCAAAAATCAAATAAAAAGCAATGTTCTCAAATTCCACCAATTATGTAAAGTTTTCACTAAATCAATCCAAGCAAACTCAAGTTATGGTACATTTTGTGAAAAAGTTACTAAAATCTGACAATTAAAGTACCCTAACTCTGGAACAATAAACCGGAAAATTAAAAAATATCAAAAGAAAGCTTCCTTTCATTGATCCCCATAATAATGTAAAGTTTGGAGGAAATCAATTCAGGAATACTGGAGTAAGTGCGTGATTTCTGAAAAATTGCCTTAAATCTAAGGGTCGAAGTTCTCTGTAACTCTGGAAAAACAAAGCCAAAAATAAAAATTAAGAAATAAAAATGGAGCTTTCTTCCTTCAATTTCGGGTGTTTTGTTAAATTATATGAGCATTGGTTAAAGCGAATTGAGTTATCATACGAAGTGTTAATTTAAGTGCTAGCATTCTTTCATACGGTCGCGTTATATATATAATTTACTTCTATCAGAGTTTTGCCGCGGGTCTGTCATACATGTATCAACATGATAAGGTTAAGTTTTTATTTATCTAAATCTTCATCCAAGGATTAGTAAAGTAAGACTTATACTATACAAATCATTGCTTCATCTCTATAATAATCTACCGGTCGATGTGAAAAACTATAATAATCTACTGGTCGATGTGAAAAAGAGGAGGGTGAGAACTTAAAAATACACTAGCATTAACACAAATGTGGCTATGTTTCAAGAAATTAAAAATCAAACAATATATTTTTTTTAATATCAACGGATTTTTTTTAACTTTTAACCATGATAACTCAAATGCTATATTGATAAGCGCAAGTGGCCTATAGAAAAGGTGCAAAGGTCATTTTTTTAAAGCGCAAATGTTCTGAAAATTAAAACGTATATGTCCTTTCAAAAAGACTAAACGTCCCGCGCCTCTATCAAAAGTTATTGTCGTTCAAACAATTTCCTTTAATAATTGAATTCTAAAGATTATTAGTAGCATAGCCTTTAAAATTAGTTCTGAATATGAAACAATTAGGATGGCATCATATATTACTCATCAATAGAATTCCACTTTCTCCGTGCATGGTATGTTGCTTTTTTTATAATTGAAATTAAATTGATATAATATATGATATAAAATAACAACGATAATGCAATATGGAAGAACGAGTTTGTAAAACTAGGGTACGAATGGGAAAGGTACGAGTTTACATAGATCCGACCCAAATCGTCGTCTCTGGTATATCAATATCAATATCAAGGGGCCTTCATTTCTGTATTCTTTAATATGTTAGGCCATTTTTCTCTATTCTATATACTTTTTGCCAATTATTCTCTATTCTTTATATTTTATAGCACCTCATTATTCTCTATTCTTTATTTTTTTGCTCCATATTTCTCTATTCTTCATATTTTTTGCCCATTATTCTCTATTCTGTAAACCCCCATACAACATAAATATTCGGCGATATTTTCAACAAACTTAAAGTTAAACATACTCTTTTTAAATAATAAACATCATACAACAAGACAACAAAATAAAATATAAATCAGAGCGAACGGACCCAGGGCGGACAGGTATAAGGGGCGAACCGGATTCTTATAAAACGGAATTTCATAACAATACCATGTTTGTTTAAAATTTTACATTACATAGTAAACAAATCAATTGGGCGTTTGAAAATAGTGGAACATTTATACTTTCATTAAGAAACTAAACAACCTCGCAAATAGTTTACGGTCATGGCGGACCTGTACGAACCTGACTTTGGAGCTGCTTATTACAGATCAAAAGACCCTGTTAAGAATCTTAAATTCAAGTAAAAATTTAGCAGTTGTTTAAAAAAAAACACAATGCACAAATTAAACACTAAAATATGCGTTCAGCTACAACATTTCACGTAAAAATAACGACAAAAATGTATTCATGAAAAACCAAGATAATTTCCAACCAATTATATTCTCTTCAATTTATGGTGATCTACAGGTTTTTACATCGAATCACCGGCACATGGTACTGTAATATGAGGCAGGTGTAATGGGACGAAGTCAGGAAAACTTTAGAATACTTTGTAACAGGAGGGGGTCGGTGACGACACCTCCCCGGACGTGTAGTGGCCAGTACTTCGTCCCTATTCGATCATCTGGATACCTGATATCAGATTATGGCTGAACAACAGACAATAAATCAAATGAAATTTTATTTATTCACAAATGTACAATAATTGCAAGTCGGATTAAACAGGAGTATAAAACTTTCTAAAATGAAGTTCAAAAATAAAGTAATTCAAATGTAAATTGAAAAATAAAGTATTTCCAGAGTTAGTCTTAAGTAAAGAAAATTTGCTTCGCGTTTTGTTTAAAAATGGAATTACTTGCACCAAAAAGGGGTGACTAACTCTGGCGAACTGCACCGAAGTGGTGGCTATCTCTAGCCTCAATTGGAATGATACATTCCGGAGTATTTGGAGGCCTGTGCAAGGCCGACTCCGACTCACTATAAATTAAAATCCTAAACTTGTCATTAATCAGGATAACTTTAACAGAAAAGGTATGAAGAAAAGTTGAATAAATGAATATTCTTAAAAATTCTAGAAACATCAGAGTTAAATGATAAAATAGTAAAATTAACAATCCTTACTTTTATCTTACTATGTTTAAAACAAATTAAACTGAAATTAAACATTTAAATACTAAATAATTAATCTGTAGAAATTAAGGGGAATTAACCTAGGCACATCTATTACAACTTTATGATATCCATTATCAGCCAATTTATATATATAAACATTTCTTGTTAAAAAATTCCCAGCATCATTTCTGCTTGAACAGGAAGTGAGTTACGGAAATGTATCCGATGTTGGTCATATTGTTAGGAATTTTTTATATGACGTCATTTTCAATGTACGCAAAGAAATGCTATCTTTAGGTGGTGTTTTTTTCTTTGTTGGATCTCCTGTACTTGGCAATCGCAATACTGATGTTAACAGTATGACCATTCCAATTAAGACAGAATGGCAATTTGATAAATATTTAGGGGAATTATCTATGAATCTTGTACATGTTGTAAAAACTGTTCTGTTTGAAAAGTATGGTCCTCTTAAGATAAAGACCACAGAAGATTCATGACTTTCTTTGATGACAATTGCCCTATATCATCATTAAAAGATACATCAACCCTTGTCATCTTATTCATAAATATGAGAATTAATGCTAAATATGTCAATTTTTATTTAATTATATTGTACTATCAGGATTACTGCTTTTAATATTTTGTGTATCATGCTAGGCTTCCAAAACGGTCATATATGCCGGACATTTGTATAATGTCCGGTAAAAGTCCGGCTGGGCAAAGCATGAAACGGTCATCTACTTTTTAGTTTTCAAGGCTTTAAGAGACGGTCATTTTAACATAATTCGCGATCTTTTTGACCCAACGTTTTGCCTTTAACAGCCACACATTTCCGGTCATAAAAGTGACATGATCATTAAGTACTATCAAAACAACCCCTACTTCAATACCTTCTCATTTTAATCAAGGCTAATTAGTTGTCAAACAGCTGAAATTTACCTGTTCAGGTGACAGGTAAACTATTTTGAACCGGACATTGATCGGTCTATTCAAAGTTATTTTCTTACATTTCAGCGGTTTGCATCTAATTAATTTAGTCAAAAAGGTTTAAATTATCAGAAATACGTTTTCAAATATGATTTGATGAAAAGGTTAAAAAGGTGAAAATGAAAAATCGTCATAACCACGTTGTTTGAACCTAGAGACATGTCTCTGTTTGAACTAGTACACGTGTGCGCAGGTGTGAAATTTAATTATGCATCCTAATTTCTTCAAAAAATGCTTAAATTGTCATTGATACCTTTATCTCACGTTTATTTCGAATATTTTCTTGAAGAAATAACGTAGAAAGAGCTTTTTCCACTCATTCAGGCTTGGCAAACGTACACGGAATTTACGTATCCGTCTCTGGTCCATGTTTTACCATTGTCAAGATAACATCCGGTATAAAAACGAAAGTAAAGTTGTTGACGTTATTTTGCACAAATAAAGAGTCTAAGGCAGATATAAGTACGCTGATGTTGCACACTTCGAATGATGCACTGCCAATTTAACAGTTTACGTCAGAACTTCGAATTTGAATCAAAGAAAGTTTAATAACGTTTTTTTTAATGTCAATCATTGGGATGGCCAACTGATTACCATAATTGCCTTTTGTTTATTTAGTCTTAAGGGATTAAAATCGGGATAATATAAAAAATGTCCGGCTGGCTAAAAATAATTTTGGAAGCCCTGGTATCATGTTTCATTTATTATGTTTTGCCACCTGATAGAATTTTTTAAACCACAATACTGGAATACAATACTGGTACAAAAATTTTAATAATACTAGTATTGCGATCACCAAGTACATGAAGTACAAGGGTTCCTCTCATTTTAAAGTATAGTTTACAAATGGTTTAATTAAAAACATAATACTTTATACAAGGGCTTCCAAAAAATAGTGAAGCCAGCCGGACATTTTTTGTCTTATTCCAATTTCAATCCCTTAACATGCTTAAGACTTAGTAACAAAAGGCAAGCATTTTAGCCGGAAAAGTGGCTGTTTAAGGCACAAGGTCAAGTCAAAATGGTTGATTTTTCTGAATCTCATGAACATTGAAATGGCAAACCTACGTAGGATGTCCCTTTCATGCTTGGCCCAGTCGGACAATGTCTGATAAATTTATATTTGTTCGGTAACAAATGACCTTTTTGGAAGCCTTGCTTTATACCTAAAAACAACGAATAGATACAAAAATCAGCCAGATCATGCTGATTGATCTGATGTGAGTTTCCTCAGAGAACTCATTTTGTCTGTATGAAATCATATGTTGATTAGCTCTAGACCCATTTTATTACATACAAAAACAGAATAAATTTAAAATGATTGTCCTCATTATTTTCTTTTTAGTAATCAGTTATACAAATTTGTGAGAAATTATATGACTTACAACATGGCAGCCTCCGTCAACAGAACAGGAACAGGGTAATGTGCAAGCTCAACTGTTAGAAAAGAGTTAGCCTTCCTACGTAACGATGTTATTATATAACACTGTCAGAAGCAATTCTTTTTTATTTATGTCAAATTAAAACAGTCTGAAAGAGACAGAAAAAATAACGTGATCAATGAATAATAGTACATGTAATTAACATGTCTTTGTTAAAATGTACCACATTGATATTCAAAACCTTTGCTAGGGTGGAACTATTTATAAATTAAATAATTTTATTTCAGTGTTCAGCTTGACAGAGTCACATCATCAAACATAGTACCATCATCTGAACCAGAAGAGCAAAATGGTGACGCCCATAGTATGGCTAATGAAATACAGAAAGATTCAGAACAAGTTGTCATTGTTTGGCAAGAAAAAATATTCAGTCAGGTAAAATATATATTATTATCAAAGTAAGGGAAGACTGAGACTGTGAAAATTCTTGTCTTGCTGTTGTTAACTTAAAATTTGAAAGCTGGGATGCTGTGTTGATACAGGATTTTGTTAACCCAAGGAGACCCCTGAAAATGGGATTATTGTCTGCCCAAAGGAAGGGTCATATGTACATGATGTATGCTATATATTGATATACATTTGTACCTGAGGAGCTATATGACCTAATGGACATAAATAAAATACCCAAAGCCTTCAAAGGTCCTGAGGGAGTTGTAATTTTAGTTTTTAAGTAATTTCTTAATTTATAATATACTTACAAGTGGTTAGTACAAGTAAAATTTATGTGTAATATAATCAATGGCAATCGTGCTGTATCAACCATCCGTTATAATATTGATATCAGTCACACTAGCACAGGCTTTATTTAAACTTATACAAAAAACATCTGTTTTAAGTATTTAATGATGTGTATGCGATATGGCTTTTCAATATCACACACCGACTTATCAATCCTCAAAAAATAAAGTCCCTGGAGCAGAGCTCTCCGTATTATATAGATTTATCAGCAATTTGAACATTTTCCCTTTGAATTTACTGCCTAATATTTTTCTATATCATGGACAGGACCTGATACTCGAAAATATTAGGCAATGACGTCACCTGACAGTGCAGCAACATCACATATCCATGTCCATCCACGTCAATTTATCAATGAAATGCACGTGACTTCATTCATACAACCGAACAACTATCAAAATGTTTTTTAAGGGTAAAAATAGTTTTCATGGTTTTACTGATAATTTCATTTTATTTCATATTCTCAACCAAAACACATATCGTTAAAACAAAATTGCCGATAAAAAGAATAATGGCATTTTATTTGTTGATACTGACTTCATTAGCTTGAATATCAGCTTGCCCTTGCAGGCTCGCTTTATATTCTTGCTGATAAAGTCAGTATCAAAAACATAAATGACATTATTCTATATGTCTCATGAGACTCATATTTATGAAAGTGGGATATTGAAAAAAGCCATATAACCTCTATTCAGGAAGGGAAAATGTGAGAGTTATACAAAGGGCACATGTCCAAATATGTATCAATTTTTAGCTTTGGATATACCAAAATAAATTATTATACTTCGTGTCAAAATGCCAGAATTTGATTGGATAATTATAATCCGCCTCAGTTGACAATATTTTCTAGGGGTAACAATCTGCTCTATCACCTTCTCAGCTATGTGTTCTTTATATATTGTTTCCATATCAGATTTGTAATACAATGTACAAAATGTACTAAATTCCTGAAATTTCACAAGGAGCTAAATTATTTCATTTAATTTAATATGTAAAAACAAAGATTTTGCAAAAAGATGTATTCCTTTTGTCATTTGCTTCTGATCATATGATATCTAAGTATTTTGTTTGAAATTAACTATGCTGAACAAACAAGTACTTGAAGTAGCAACAGGGCTAGCAAAATATCTGTAGCTTAGATTTTACATATCTCTTGATAAACATTTACAATGAGCAAAAAAATGTGAATTTTCTTGTCTAAATGTTCTAAAAACATGAACAAAAAAGGTGAGTTCAATATACATTATATTTAGATTGTAGGTAATTTTGTGCAGTACTTATTTTTCTAATGGTTAGTTTTATCCTGTTTATTAGAATCCATTATTTGGACATTAACAAAACTAGAAACAACAAACATTGAACATTCATTATTGTGTTAGCAGTTATTTCCCTTGAACCCAGAAATCAATACCAGTATGTAATCTTTTCAGAGAGAAATTGAAACATACCGGGTAGACAATAACTTTGATGGTTTAGAAAGGAAATACCATGAAGAAGTCACAGCTATTTTGTAAGTTCTGTCATGGAGTGGGGATTAAAGGAAGTTATACCAATGTTGGTGAAGAAAACATGTTTTTAATGCAAATCTGCTTTTAAGGGAAAATTTAAGGTTCAGTCCTAAAAAAAATTCAACAAAAATTGAAAATTCCTTCATATTGTTCAATATTTACTGAATTGTTTTCAGGAATATTTAGGATAATTTCATGCACCGTTTTCTTCTTTCAAAATAATTCTGCCAATATAAAACATGTAAATAAATAATTAGACACCATATGATTGCCAATGAGACAACTTTCCACCTGTGTCCAAAAGGACAATTTCACTTTAATTAGGGGACAGCCATATCATTTTAATTTATCAAGCACTCAAAGCACAGGTGTATAGAATTGGGAGGGTGATCTCAGGTGCTCCAGAAGGGTAAGCAGATCCTGCTCCACATGTGACACCTGTCGTGTTACTCCTATATAATATGTTGATACATTATATCAAGTGATATATAAAAGTATATTAAAACTATTAAAAAGATAAGCAACAAAAATATGAAATAAAATTAAAAGTTCTTGAAACAAGGTTCACTTCACAAGCGTTACGTTTTCAGTCTGAAAATTTTACACCTTTTAGTAAGTCGCAACAATCTAAATTTTATAGCTTTATCATATTTTCTTATACATACGCAATAATTGTAAGGTATTAAGTTAGTTAAATTAGTAAAAATACATTACCATATCATACATTGGTAATAAAAATAACATATCAGAATTTTGGCCTGTGTGAAGCACAGTTGAGGCATTACTTTTAATACCAGGTGTAACAATTATAAATTTATTTCATTATTTTTACAGATCAAGAGGGACAACACCAAACAACAGAATATTTACATATGTGGACCATGATAATTTCTCTCAATCTGATGAGGTAAAAAATGATGACCTTTCTAAAAATCTTTTAGTAAAAAGCTTCACAATACAAGTACAATATTTGAAGATAATCAAATCCTTCTAAGAACACATGAAGAAAAGAAAGAATTAAACAAAATTTGGTAAAATTGGAATATAATAAGTTAATTTCAATTTATTGTTTTATAATATGAAAACAATGCAAAGTATTTGAAAATGACATAATATCTGTAACGGTTGGATGACAAAAAAAGTAATTTTGAATAAATATTATCTTTAATTTAATTTGTTTAAAAAGTTTACAACTGGATGTTAATCTACTGATATATGGCAAGACAATCAGAGTTATTTAAATACACTGATAATTGTTTTACAGAATGTTTTTTACATGACCAATTCACCATCCGAAACGCCAACAGTTTTAGCAGAGAAAATGGCACATCTACGACGACGGAGAGTTGGTGGTGGTAAACAAACACGTCAAAGGTATACACATTAAATCTAAAAGAAATAGAATAAAATAATCTCAGGTTTTAGAGAAGACCATCAATTGCATACCATATAAAAAGCCATTCTTATGTTCCAATCTTTGAAAAAATGAAGTGTTTTATATTTTTTGGTCACCTGGCCCACAAACAAATTTCTGAGAAATTATAGCATTGTCCGAACAGATTTTTTTTAATAATTTTGAAAGACTCAAGTTCATAAAAATTAAACTTTTTAAAACTTGTATTTCTAGAATGCCATGAAATTTTTTAACCAATTTAATTGTCCATGCTGTGTATTTCTAGAATATGGAACCCTCAATATCTACAATATACTTGTAACTGCAACAGATTTAATGATTATTTGATGTTGTACTGTATATTTTTTAAAAATGAGTATGTAGAATTCATATGTCTGTAGATAGGTTAAGAAATGATTCTTTCATGGGATTCTCTGTGCTAATTTTAACTTTGGTAGGCATTAAATTTGTCAATATCATTAGCCATTTTGATCAATCATCTTGGGCAGTATTCAAAATACATTTGCAGTGGAAATTTTAATTTTGACGTCACACACATGCACACTATGTTCCTTTGGAATGAGAACATAACTGTGTTCACAAACAGAAAGAAGAGCACCATATAAGAAATTCATTTTTAACATTTCTTGCAGTAAAATATTCTAAATTTATATTCCAGAAATACAGGATTTGTACCAAAAGTAAATATTGTTGACTCACAGCCATCTGAAGATCTACGCAACAGAAATCACATCATGGAGGCCCCATCACAAGTCATGTATATCATGGCTGACCTTAGTCCTAGGGAGAGGTATACCATTACATTGAACATTTTTTAACCTGTCACTTTTGACAGCCCTTACATATACTACACATTAAAAAATACTGTTGGAAATATATTGTCTAATAACTAGATGGTACACTACTTAGCTATTCAGATTTAAGGGAGGAATGTAGATGCTTTATTGCTTGTAGTTGATTGACATATGTTTTATAGAGGCACATGTATTGTGGATTCATTATTGTCGATGCTCACAGCTGGTCACAATGGTGGATAGATGTCTCATGGGCAATCATACCACACCTCCTTATTGGTATATTAACTATTGTTTTTATTTCCCCTTTGGCAATATAGCTCTTCAAGATATGTTTTTATGCCCCACCTACGATAGTAAAGGGGCATTATGTTTTTTTTTCGGTCTGTGCGTCGGTACCTCCTTCCGTTTGTCTGTCTGTCCCGCTTCAGGTTAAAGATTTTGGTCAAGGTAGATTTTGCTGAAGTTGAAGTCCACTCAACTTGAAACTTAGTACACATGTTCCCTATGATATGATCTTTCTAATTTTAATGTAAAACTAGAGTTTTGACCCCAATTTCACGGTCCACTGAACATAGAAAATGATAGTGTGAATTGGGCATCCGTGTTCACATTCTTGTTTTTACATCCTTTGCTTTCTAATTTTTATACGCCCGTTTACGGGACGTATTATGGTATACCGTTGTTCGTCCGTCCGTCCGTCGTCAACATGTCGGACATTAACTCAAAACGCTTTAACCAATTTGCTTAAAACTTTGGTGAATTGTTTATATCTATTGATTCGAGCTCCCTTTCGTTTTTTATAAATTTTAGATCTTTCGTTTCCGAGTTATGGGGTTTTATTCATTAAAAAAAGGGGGATTTTCCAGTTTTCGGACAATAACTCAACAATGCTTTCACCAACTTGCAAGAAATTTTGGTTAATTGTTTATATCTATTGACATGAGCTCCCTTTGGATTTTTATAAATTTTAGATTTTACGTTTCCGAGTTATGGGGTTTTATTCATAAAAAAAGGGGGATTTTCCAGTTTTCATAAAAAAAGGGGGATTTTCCAGTTTTCGGACAATAACTCAAAAATGCTTTCAGCAGTTCTCATGAAACTTTGATGAATTGTTGATATCTATTGATGTAAGCTCCCTTTAGAATTTTATAAATTTTAGATTTTACATTTCCGAATTATGGGGTTTATTCATTAAAAAAGGGGGGATTTTCCAGTTTTCAGACAAAAACTCAAAAATGCTTTCAGCAATTCGTACGAAACTTTGGTGAACTGTTTATATCTATTGATGTAAGCTCCCTTGAGAATTTTATAAATTTTATTTGTTTATAGTCTGACAACAGATTTACTAAGTATTGCGCAACAGCACAGTGTATTGCACAACAGCAAAAAAACTTTAATTGAATATAAATTCAATTCATATAACCAACTTCAAGTTCTTTGACTACATTTATTCAGAAACCTATAATAGATGTATGTCAAATATTTAATTACAATCCAAATTCAGACCTGTATCAAGCTTGAATATTGTGTCCATTTTTGCCCCAACTGTTCAGGGTTAGACCTCTGCGGGCGTATCCAGCTGCGCTCAGCGAAGCAGTTTATTAGCTTTGAGAGTTCCTGAATGTTAATCAAGAAAAGTGCTTCAGACACACCATATTTATAAAATAATATTTTCATTTTCTTTGCATAATTTCAGATCAGCCACCCCAGATGAGGAAGTTATTTTAGGTATTGTTGCCTTGGACTGTAATGGGGTGCTATGTATGAGGCCAGATTTTAATAGAGGCAGGAAACCTTATGTTGTAGAAACATCAAGCTTCGGAAAAGGTAAGATCCTTTATTATGTTGCTATGTTACCATCAAATCAGTAATTGTTACAGGTAAAATAAGACCATGGCAAGAAAAAAACTTGTGTATGTGTTTATCCACATTGTTTTATTAGCTCACCGGGGCCCAAAGGGCCCCCATGTGAGCTTATGCCATCACTTGGCGTCTGTCGTCGTCCATCGTCTGTCGTTGTCTGTCGTCGTAAACTATTTAAAAAATCATCTCCTCTGAAACTACTGGGCCAAATACCTTCAAACTTTAAATAAATGTTCCTTAGGGTACCTAGTTTATAAATTGTATCCGAAGTTTTGATCCATCGACAAACATGGCCGCCATGGCTAAAAATAGAACATAGGGGTCAAATGCAGTTTTTGGCTTATATCTCAAAAACTAAAGCATTTAGAGCAAATCTGACATTGGGTAAAATTGTTCAATTGGTCAAGATCTATCATCTATGAAATTTTCAGACAAATCAAACAACCCATTGTTGGGTTGCTGCCATTGAATTGGTAGTTTTAACAAAATTTTGCAGTTTTTTGTTATTATTTTGAATATTATTATAGATATATATAAACTGTTAGCAGCAATAATGTTCAGCAAAGTAATATCTACAAAAAAGTTAATATGACCATAATTGTCAATTGACCCCTTAAGGAGTTATTGCCCTTTAAAGACAATTTTACATAATTTGTTCATCAAGTTTGCTAACATTTAAAAATCTTCTCCTCTGAAACTACTGGGCCAATTGCCTTCAAACTTTAAATAAATGTTCCTTTGGGTATCTTGTTTATAAAGTCTATCCAAAGTTTGTATCCATCGACAAACATGGCCGCCATGACTAAAAATAGAACATAAGGGTCAAATGCAGTTTTTGGCTTATATCTCAAAAACTAAATCTTTTAGAGCAAATGTAACCGGGGAAAATTGTTTCATTGGTCAAGATCTATCGGCCCTGAAATTTTCAGACGAATTGAACAACTCATTGTTGGGTTGCTGCCACCGAATTGGTAGTTTTAACAAAATTTTGCAGTTTTTTGTTATTATTTTGAATATTATTATAGATAAATAAACTGTAAGCAGCAATAATGTTCAGCAAAGTAAGATCTACAAAAACGTTAATATGACCATAATTGTCAATTGACCCCTTAAGGAGTTATTGCCCTTTAAAGACAATTTTACACAATGTGTTCATCAAGATTGCTAACATTTAAAAATCTTCTCCTCTGAAAAACAGGTGAGCAATTCAGGCTCTTGAGAGCCTCTTGTTAAATTATAGTTGTCAAGAATATTTCCTAAATAACAACAAAAATTTACTAGGGATTTTTTTTAAGGGATTACAGTGTCAGACATGGCATATTGGCTTGATACTTTATGATCCTAAATAGCTTAGGGTTATCTCCCCTAGACTGTAAAAATTCACTATTTAAAATTTCTCTACTCATTGGAATACAGGTAAAAGCAAAATTGAAGGGAGAGATAAAAAAATGCATAACAAACAATACAGAATATTGACATGAAAAGAAAGTAAATGAGCCAGTCTAACACCAATCTTCCACAAAATCAACGGAGTTGGTCAAATTCGAAAAATAATAATTTTACATGTGTATTTTTTTATCAGCTCTCATTGAATTTGTTCAAATTCATATTAATACATCTTTTGCTTGGTACTTATTTTTAGTGATGTCATTTGTTTCAGTGTATCTTTTATATAAGCAGTAAATAAACATTACAATTATTTTTGTACAAAATTGTTATTATTATTTTCAGAGGTGTTTGAATATACAATAGAACATGCATCTAAAGTAATGAACAGGTCAGTAAAAATTAAAAAAACAAATGATTTAGATAATAGCCTAACTATTTTCTGATTTAAGAATTTTCAGTCACTATGATATTGACTGTGATCCCCGTCAATGCAAACCATATGGGTGCATGTTTTATGTACATATACATGTATACAATACAATGTATAAGGTTAATGTTAGAAAAATATTGACTTTTTTATGAGGTTAAAACAGGGGAAGGGCAAAGATTATGTAAAATTTGATATTTTTCTAACATCGATCTAAATTTGTTTTTATATTGCAGCTAAAAAAGGCTACAGTAATAGTTATGAAAATGTTAACACAAAAATAAAAATTTATTTTCCATCCCTCAATGAGCCCAAAATTGTAAAAAAAAGAAGTGATGTTACATGAAATAAAAGTTGCACAAAATATCACTTTGTTACTATATTAGACAGATAGAGACAACAGAAAGTGTTCTAGCTGCAGTAGATAAGCTTTGAAGAATTCTAATTATGTAGCCTCTTAATTTGCAACCACAGTGACAATTTTACCATAAATGTCTGATACATTTACAAAATCAAAATTATTGTCAAAATCCTGCACAATACACGATCCTTGTGACAGTTGTTCTCTATAGGCAAGTACCACAGGTTGTCCTATATTGGAGTACATTTACTTTCATAGCAAATGTAACATTATGGATGATGTCACAAAGCTATTTTATGTTTTATTTTTCAACTGGGTTCTTTTATGTAAGGGCTTTTAGAAAATTGATTACAGCAAGAGGGATTGGAAACACATAAAATAATTAGAATTTTGTATGAATTATAAGTAAAAAAAAAATTTAATATTATGTGTGGTTTGGGTCTTAAAAAAATCCTCTCATGCCCCCTATGTATATAATTCTGGAACAGCCCTAATCCCTGTATTTCTAAAATAAACCATGTTTTACAGACAAGAACAAGACAAAGAAATGAAAATGTACAGAGAAGTGTATAACAGACACAAAGATTTCTTACAAGCCTGTGTTGGGGATGAGTTTGAAATGGTAGGTATAAACATGTAGCATACACTGAATTAAGAAATACAATGAATAGTTCATTATCAATATAGTTTGGCGTGTGTATTTGCACTATCTGTTCTGACCATGAAACGGTGGGCATAAATATGTAGCATACACTGAATTTAAAAGCATACACTGAATTTAGAAATACAATGAATAGTTCATTATCAATATAGTTTGGTGTGTGTATTTGCACTATCTGTTCTGACCATGAAATGGTAGGCATAAATATGTAGCATACACTGAATTAAAAAACATACACTGAAAAGTTCATTATCTTATATATGGTTTGGTGTGTATAGTTGGAACTATCTGTTCTAACAGTAAGGTTCCATCAGTTGTGGACAATTGGAAGTATTCAACCTTATCACTATAGATAATGGATTTTCAATGGTATTTTTAAATGCAGATTAGAAATATCAACCTCTATAGTCTTTGTAAACATGTATATTAGAAATTTAAGAAATTTATATATAAATTCAGATATCCATAGATGTCCTATACTTAGGACTTCTTAATTGCAGATGTCATCTTCCTTGGTTTTGACATAAATTATGTTTTTACATCTTTCTTTGTTTCATCAAAATCATGAAAAATGAATTATGTGAATGATAAAATATTAATCACAATGAAAGCAAATGACCAAGGGAGAGAATTATTATAAATTGAATTACTCCCCTTTGTCCAGTATTCACATATATAAGAAATTATGGTTTATGTATGGTTTTTATTTTGATTTGAATTGATCTCTTCAAACCAACTCATCAGTTATTTAAGAAATATGTTTATTCAAATGAGCACTTCAATACCTAAATGATTGTGAAATAAAATTCACACTATTAGGAGACATTTACAGTTGTATGTGAACTTTACGGAACCAGAATTTGTTGATGAACTTCTTTTACTTTCTATTTTAGCCTGCCCCAGATGTACTCAGATTATTAGTGTATGGAGAAATAGGTTAGTTTTTTTTAGAAAATGACGCAGTCAATTTTCTTTTACCATTGACCAGACTTCCAACCCGCATTCCGAACTCGGATCCGTATTTTACATACTTAAAGTGAATGTTAGTATGCTCATACATTGGTAAAAGAAAGACAACTCCAGCGTTGCAAATGTACATTTTAAAATAACAGATGGTGTTGTCTCCCTTCAATATGTCTTCTTGTGTACAAAATGGCGGTCATTAACCTTCATGACCGTCGGACTATTTTCAATCATATTGTTGAAAATACAACTGGAACAGAATTAAATTTGTAATTTTCATTCTTTAATTTCTTAACCTGTCATACCTGCCAACTTGCACGATTCAGGCGTGAAATACTCGATTTTAACCCCTTGTCACGATTGCACGATTGTGATCGTGTAAAAACCTCTAAACCACGATTTTGTTAAATTATACTGTTCCCAATATTTCGAACTTTCCTCAAACTTTTCCCAAGGGAGACAACTGTGATCAGCCAATCAAAATCGTTGTTTCTCCTTATCTTTGGGTTTTGTAAACTGCAAATGTGCTAAATTTTGAACTTGTTAGGAACTCAGAATATTGTAGAAATCGTGATCATGGCAGACCAATTTCAATTACAAGAAGGTTCTTACACAGCTTAAGAAGTAAATCATGACTGATTGACAAAGTTCAAAGATACAGTTCAACCATAAACATAATAAACAGTAGCTAATGGACAAATTTTACACTTATGGTAACAGATCATACATGTTGTCATTCTTGAAATTAAATTACCAAATCAATTAAAGTACAATGTTCTATCTTTTAATTTTCACAAGGAATCAGATATATTTCCTTCTTTGTGCATATTTTTATATTTGAAAAGTCAACAATCACTTTAATATTCCTGTGACCAATAATCTGATAATCCACCTTTAAGGTTCATCTAATATACACCAACAAAAATGGCTGTGTTTACACCATGAAATTTTCTCTGAATGCAGACAAAACTGTGTAATTCTAATAGTTTTAAATCCTGGCAGCACCTGGCCACAACTCCTCTTTTTCCTGTGGTACCTGAAAACAATAAACCGGTTTGGTACATTGTTGAGGTCTGAAAGTGACTTATAACTGCCAACAGCCACATTGTTTGAACTCTGGTATATAGTACATCAGACTGTTATCTCATTGGCAATCACACCCCATCTCCTTATTTTATTACGGGTCAATTATTTGAAATAAATGACTACGGTACTCAACATTAAATCATTTGAAAAAAAAATAATTTTGCAATAATTTATGTTGTCATTTTAAGATTTCAGTGTAAGCTTGCTTACTACAGCCTCTTCACAATGAAATTAAGTTGTATAGATGGTGTCACTTTGTTTGTAACTGTGAAACTAGTATAACAATACTTATTATATAATTGTCTAAATCTATAGAAATTGGTCATGTTTAGGTAACTGAAATAACAATGTGATGTTGTCACTAGGTCACCTGTAACTTATCTCTTGAATAAGGACTATGTTGGGTATAAGAGCTTTCTTACTACAGGCTCTTCATAATCATTTTGTTAAATAATTCTACAAATAAGGGAAACACATTCACATATTACTTTGAATATTGTAGATTGTTCAGGTAGTCTTGAGCTATTTCTTTGTACAGCAGAAAAACTAGTAGTTATTTTCACTTCACACACATATATATATATCTTGACAAACAAATAAAAACGCTATAGATTGTGGAAACAATTCATATCTATTCTATCAGTCACCCTACCTACCATAAATTGAAACTTTGCCTAAGATTCAGTAGGTAAATTAAGTAAAAATCAAGACTTGTATCAAAAATATCCCAATATGAGAGACAATGGCGTCATTTTTACTTAGAGCTTTCAGCTCTTTGATTTTATATTAGGTTGTATAAATATTTTATAATTTATAACGAGATGTAAAAGAGGAAGGTGGACAAATGAGAAATTATGTTTAGAACTAATTGTCAATCAAATGTTGAAAAATCAAAATAAAATATATTTTAATCTGTGATATTTTGGAAAATTTTAGATAACCTCTGTTAAAATTACTGTCAACAGGTATAGATTAGTGGTGATTTAAAAGTTGGCATATTGTTTAGAAATTTTCTATTTTATTTAAGACTATATATTGACCTCTCATTGTCATCTGTTTGGGGTTTTTTTGTCATGTCATTGGGTTGCTGTCTCATTGGAATATACCCCAAACCTCCTTTGAATGATCTGTAAACTAAAAGGAATGTTTCTTCCAAAAATAGTTCAAATTTTACGGAAAATTGTACAAAAATGGGGTAAAATATATATACCTTAATTGGGTAAAAAATGAAATTTATAAAGAATTTTTCTAGACTCACATTTTCAAATACAAAAATGAAAAAAAAAATTCTATAATTAGAAAATATTTCCATTACTGTCTGTCATTTTTCTTGTCAACCAATATTTACAATGGTATATATTTCAGAGTCTGCCAAAAATTTTGAGTATGATGATCTCTACTGCCATTTCTTTGTTGATCTCCCAAAATGTAAGTATATATATTATTAAGTTATATTTTCAAAGCCATCAGTATTTAGCTACTTGATTTTAAATACATCAACTGCAACTGTTATAGATAATGAATTAACAACTATTATGGTCACTTTGCAAATATATATTTGTAAATTGTGTAGAATATTAAATTTATAAGAATTTCTAGTATAGTAAATCATTCTTTTATTATCTTCATATTGGAAGTTTACTCTTAACATTTGTCAATGAACAAGACAATGCTATTAACAGGGTTGATTTATTCCATCAGGCTTTTGTTTTAAAAGTTTGTGGTTACAACAACTGATATATTTTGAAAAGTTTGAAAATTTAAAAAAAAAGGATCCTCTTAAAAATGTTAAGAGAAGGTCTGAAAACCGTAAACATGAACCTTTTTTGGATATGGTAATTTATTTGAAAAAAAAGAATTTATTTCAGAAAATTTCTGTTTTAATAGTTTGGACAGCTGAGAAACATCAACAGTTATCCTGGGTCACACAGACATGTTCTACTAAAGTGGAAGGAAGGGTAAGTATCTATAGGTTACACAGACATGTTCTACTAAAGTGGAAGAAAGGGTAAGTATCTATAGGTTACACAGACATGTTCTACTAAAGTGGAAGGAAGTGTAAGTATTTATAGGTTACACAGACATGTTCTACTAAAGTGGAAGGAAGGGTAAGTATCTATAGTTTATCCTGGGTTACACAGACATGTTCTACTTAAGTGGAAGGAAGGGTAAGTATCTATAGTTTATCCTGGGTTACACAGACATGTTCTACTAAAGTGGAAGGAAGGGTAAGCATCTATAGGTTACACAGACATGTTCTACTAAAGTGGAAGGAAGGGTAAGCATCTATAGGTTACACAGACATGTTCTATTAAAGTGGAAGAAAGGGTAAGTATCTATAGGTTACACAGACATGTTCTACTAAAGTGGAAGGAAGTGTAAGTATCTATAGGTTACACAGACATGTTCTACTAAAGTGGAAGGAAGGGTAAGTATCTATAGTTTATCCTGGGTTACACAGACATGTTCTACTTAAGTGGAAGGAAGGGTAAGTATCTATAGTTTATCCTGGGTTACACAGACATGTTCTACTAAAGTGGAAGGAAGGGTAAGCATCTATAGGTTACACAGACATGTTCTACTAAAGTGGAAGGAAGGGTAAGCATCTATAGGTTACACAGACATGTTCTATTAAAGTGGAAGAAAGGGTAAGTATCTATAGGTTACACAGACATGTTCTACTAAAGTGGAAGGAAGTGTAAGTATCTATAGGTTACACAGACATGTTCTACTAAAGTGGAAGGAAGGGTAAGTATCTATAGTTTATCCTGGGTTACACAGACATGTTCTACTTAAGTGGAAGGAAGGGTAAGTATCTATAGTTTATCCTGGGTTACACAGACATGTTCTACTAAAGTGGAAGGAAGGGTAAGCATCTATATGTTACACAGACATGTTCTACTAAAGTAGAAGGAAGGGGAAGTTTCTATAGTTTATCCTGGGTTACACAGACATGTTCTACTAAAGTAGAAGGAAGGGTAAGTATCTATAGTTTATCCTGGGTCACACAGACATGTTCTACTAAAGTTGAAGAAAGGGTAAGTATCTATAGTTTATCCTGGGTCACACAGACATGTTCTACTAAAGTGGAAGGAAGGGTAAGCATCTATAGGTTACACAGACATGTTCTACTAAAGTAGAAGGAAGGGTAAGTTTCTATAGTTTATCCTGGGTTACACAGACATGTTCTACTAAAGTAGAAGGAAGGGTAAGTATCTATAGTTTATCCTGGGTCACACAGACATGTTCTACTAAAGTGGAAGGAAGGGTAAGCATCTATAGGTTACACAGACATGTTCTACTAAAGTAGAAGGAAGGGTAAGTATCTATAGTTTATCCTGGGTCACACAGACATGTTCTACTAAAGTGGAAGGAAGGGTAAGCATCTATAGGTTACACAGACATGTTCTACTAAAGTGGAAGGAAGGGTAAGTATCTATAGGTTACACAGACATGTTCTACTAAAGTGGAGGGAAGGGTAAGCATCTATAGGTTACACAGACATGTTCTACTAAAGTAGAAGGAAGGGTAAGCATCTATAGTTTACAACATTTGGATTCATAATAATTAATAATAATTCATAATATGACACTCTTCTTTCACTTTGTAAACAAGGCCATGTTATAATTCAAAACAAAACATTGGGCACATGTGGGCTACATCACTATTAAGCTTGCAACGATAGTTATAGTTTGAATATAGTCGACAATCAAAATGAACATTTCAGTGGTTGGTGCTCTCTAGGAAATTTTAAAAAAGCTTGATGTAAAGATATTGACACATACAGTACAAATTTCGTGAAAGGCTTCCCAAACTCCGAACACCAAGTTTTTTATTGGTGTGACACCAGGAAACTCCGACATCCCTCCCTAAATTCTCGGAGAAATTTGGGAGTATTCCCTCCGACTTCCGCGTAAATTCGCTACCTTTTGTTTATTGTATTAGCGACATCTCTCCCAGACCGGTGTGACGCGGTGTCACACCAGGCAATTAATTGCCCTAATCCTTCTGATCTATACCGGCACGCGACAGTCAAGGTATGTGAGATTACTTATGTAATTAAACAATTGTATTTCCTGTCTATTGATAATCAGGTTATATTTCTGATTGCTTGAAACAAATAAAAGATTTAAAAGCAAAACGTTGTTGTTAATTCTTTCAATTACACTGTCCATTTAAAAATAGTTTTATTAAAAAAAAACTATATTTGATTTTTACCTCGTTTTTTTCTGGTCAGTAAATTAATATTTAATTTACAAAAGAGATATACTTGTGTAAAAATAAACGGAGACTTACGCTGAATAAATGTGGGCAGTTTAAAGGAAAATTACATGTCTCAAAGTTTTGTATACAAGTAAAAAACAAAATATTATTCACTATTCGTTATGCTAAAAAGTCCACGCCATTTTCATTTTATGATTACATAATTGCTTGAAACAAATTAAAGATTTAAAAGCAGAATGTTGTTGTCAATTCTTTCAATTGCATTAAAGTTTTATAACAAAAACTATACTTGGATTTTGACCTTGTTTAAGTTCATCTGTAAATTATTTTATTTACGAAAAAAAACATACTTGCGTAAAAATAAACGGAAACGAACGCTGAATATAAAAGTGAGCAGTTTAAAGAAAATTACGTGTCTCAAAATTTGTATATGCAAGTAAAAAAGAAAATACCATTCACCATTCGTTATGCTTAATAAGTCTACGGCATTATCTCTTTACGATTTGTTTGCATTACTTTAGGATAAATAATTACATTTCGGCTACAACAGGAATAATTCTATAGCTGCATCAACTCGTCGTTGCATAATATTCATTTACGCACAATGAATGTAAACTTGTGTGTTGTATAAAGGACAGTGATTTTTTTATTTTTTAAAAGAAATTAATTGCCGTGGGAAGACGATACACATCTCAGTGATCAACAGTCCGTGGTTAAACTTTGAACTTGACTTCGCTCACAATATTGAATGCTAAAAATAGTGACATCAATTTTGACCACGAAATTTTTATTTGGCGGGAAATATTATCACGTAACAGTAAACTCAGGTGACCTTTCTGGATGACCGTGGGAAAATTCATTCGGGGTTTAAATTTGCTTTGGAATGATTGACATTTGTATGCCTTAAGATTGAGGCTCTAGAAGGTCCTTTTACAATTGATTAACCGTAATCTAAAATATAATCCTTTTCTGAATAAAAGAAACACCAGCCTTTTAATTTTACGTTTCTCAGTCAACACAGGACATAAACCTGGACATTATTTATACGTCCATGGTCAACAATATACATAAATGGTAGATGAAAACAGGATGCATGTCGTTCAGTTCCTGTTGGGCGTTGGTAGAGATCCTCTGTGAAAATGTGTAGATCATAAAAATCCGATCCACATTTTTTCCACATATTTCTTTCTTGTAGAACACGATATAATTTCATTTAAATATTCTATAGTATTAATTGTTGAAATACTTCTTTTTTTTATTTCGCCAAGGACTTTTAACGAGCAGTAAAATACGGATTGCGCCCATCCAATTTTATTTTAAATAATAAAGGATCAATAACAGATCATAACAGAGATAAAAAAACACATGATTTTTTTCTTCTTCATATAATTAAATTAGGTTGTGATTATTGTGTTGTGTCTGGGCGGGGAATGTCTCTCAGTGTTGTGTTTTTATGAATATAGGGCACATTGCATACAAAACGTTTTCCCTTCGTTCAACAGAGTAGTCACTTTACAGTTTCTTTTCTGAGTTCAAATATTTCAAGTCGGTAATCTACCGAGGTAGTGAAACATAATATTTTACATTGCAAAATAAATTGAAAGTAACAGAGTTCACTTGTTGATCCGATAAATTAACTCTTGGGTTTAGATTGGACAAATTATCGTAAAAACATCATTTTGTTTTAAGCCAGTTGATATTTATATATTGAACAATTAATGAACCGGATATTGCTCACTGAGTAGGTCATAAAAGATTCTTATTGTAGTAATATCGTCTTTGTTGAAAAAACAAAAATTATGACCTGACCGGACTATAATAAAAATACAAAATAAGTGTTTTATTCGTATTTTTATACGTTTGTACGTTTTATTTCAAATGACAATGACATGGGGCAAATACATACAAGAATAATTATCTTATTTTGAATGAAAATGTCACATTTTTATCTGTCAAAGAAAGGAAATTTTAATACCGTGTTTTAAAGCACACAGGTGCAATCAAGATCGATTAAATGTACAAAGGTAATAAATCTGGCTAATCCGATTTTGTTGTCACGCGTCATTAATTTTCAGTACATCCGATGGGCAATAAACCAATTAACAGCCACGCGGTGTTGGGAGAGAATCTTTGGAGGAAATTGGGAGTACAATCCGTGATTCACGGCGTGACACCGCTACACTCCGAAATCCGTGATTAGAGTTCGCGATTACAAACTCTCTGTGCGTACTGTATAATGCCTACCCAGTTAAATCGGGCATTGAGTAGAAATCAAGCAAGACAATCAAACATAAAAGACATTGAGGTTTATGAACCTTATTTTTCATCATTATATGTTTTAATCCAGTAAAGTAATGTAATGGGTTTTTTTCACTTTTAGGATGATGTTGCCCACTTCAGTTTTCCATTTAGTTTTGAACTGTTCTACAAAAACGACTCTGTGAATGAAGATGAACAAGGTCAGTGTGGGTCGATATTTAAACTATAAAAATACTCTTTCGTTACAGAAGATCATTTTGAAATATGTTTTATTTATTAAATTAAATTTTACATGTACTTATTATGCTATCAAAATTTTAAAGGTTTTTAGCAATAAAATGTAGAGTTTTATAACAACAACACTTTAGGGACTGCTGCAGAAAATTTATTGATCTACATGCTTTGGTGCTTAGGGCACCTTCATCAGAATAAAAACAATACGGAAAATTTCACCTGAAGTACAAAATAGGGTATGCATAAATTACATCAGAATGTAACCATGGTGAGTATAAATAAAAACTGAAAGTATACTTGAACATGTTGAACAAAAGTTGAATAAAATGTGAATGTCATTGAAATTTAAATGTTTGTTGAATGAATACGTTTTTGTTTTGTCATCTTACATAATGGAACTAAAATATATAATAAAAAGTTAATGTCCGGCTGTTGCACAGTTTGTGTTTGACCCAATTTTGTACTTCAAGGCAAAATTTTCTGTATTGTTTTTATCCTGATGACGATGCCCTAGGCACCAAAACATGTAGATCAATAAATTTTCTGCAGCAGTCCCTAAAGTGTTGTTGTTATAAGACTCTCTACATTTTATGTGCTTTATCATAACAAACCTGCATACTCGAAGTATCCACTTCAGGGACTCCATCGTACAACAGATTGACCAGGCATTGGTTTACTTTTGTTTGTAATTTTTTAGCAATAATAGAAACTTTGCAAACATTTCTGAATAGAGAAAGTGGGTTATACCAAAGCAGTAAAGTGTCAACACATTGTTTTAAGATGTAAGATATTGAGTATTTATAGAATTATAAGACTACTGAATGCTTAAATTTCTTTTTTTCACAAATTTTGGTGATGGATATTGTAAGGACAAAATATATCTATTTATTATTATATATTAGATTTTTAAACAGGTTATTTTGGCCAATTCCTTTGTCACATTTTATTTTATTATTTGTTATTTTTATCTTTACTTTATCTTAATAATGTTGACTTAGAAATGAAGGTTTTTATGACATTTTTTTATGTTTTTGTAGATATTTCGAAATCATCATAAGGCAAAAAAAAAAATATATGTCTGTTTACGGTTCCCGACCGACCCTACTTTTGAGCGCCGACCCTAAGTCATTTTATTTCCGTCGTAAAGTGAAAAATAAACTGAACTCGTGTCAAAAGCAAAATTAGTGTTGCAAATAATATAAATCAATTGCCTGATACATCTCAATGTTCACAATCGTGAATTTGACAGCTGTTTTGAAGGAAATTCGCAACTCGTGTGATGAAATAAACACTTTGCCGCCATTTTTTTCCAACCAATTACCAAGGGAAATAATCCAATCATTAAAAATACGGATAAAATCGGCCCATGATCAACTTGGACCATGACAAGACGAAACCGCATGACTCAAAATCATGTCACAAAAAATAAAATGAAAAATTAAAATAGAATGGAAATACCGACCTACCTACCCTATTTTTTTAAAGTATGTAACCTTAAACCGACATATATTTTTTTTTGGCCTAACTAAAACTGTAAGAAAATTAATACTTTAACAATAACTCATGTACATATGTCATTACATTTCAGATGAGGTTCCACATTTCCCACTAATAATGTTGGAAGTTCTGTCGTTAGACTCTTTCAAGAGATTCAGAACAGAAGGTTATACATATGTAGCTGTTCCAAATGCACCAGGTAAGAATAATAGGTCTAATATGCTAAAGAATCTATTTAATAAAGATACAGATCTAGACATACTGAGAAACATTGTGTATTGCATTTTGACCTAAAATAGTCCATCAATGATATTATGTAGGTGTATAAAACAACAAATTAATTATGAAAAATTCCTTAGCTGTCATAGTTACAAAGATTTAATTTTGATAACACAGAGTAAGAGGATATCATCCCTTTGTTAGAATCCTATAGATTACCTCAGAATTACAGAGATATATCTTTGATACAAGAGGTTAGATTACATACTGTGAATTTTATTTTCATGGGTACCAATTTCCATGGATTGAGGAAAAATTGTATTTTCGTGGATATTTGATTTCATGGAGTCTGCACACATGCCTATAGAAAAATTTGTAATTCATCAACCATTGAAATTAATAGTTCACCTTTACCTAAGAAATCAATGAAAATTGGTACCCTACAAAGAAATAATGAATCAACAGTAGTAAGAAACCTATTTGTGGGTAGCTTAGGATTGCTGAATTATTATACCCCTGTTTTAAAAAAGTGGGGATATACTGTTTTACCTCTGTCTGTCCTTCCGTCCGTCCCATGAATATTTTCGTCGCATTTTTCTCAGGAACTACTTGACAAGGATTTCTGAAATTTGGTTTCAGGGTTTATATAAGTAAGTTACACCGTGTGATGCGTTTTCAGATTCATCACTCAACAACTTCCTGTTTACCAAAATATTTTGGCGGGGGTATCATCAGTGAGCAGTAGCTCACAGTTTTACTTGTTTTTTATGCCCCTGCAAATGAAAGTTTGGGGGCATATTGTTTTACCCCTGTCTGTCCGTCCGTCAGTCCTTCCGTTGGTCCTTCCGTCCGTCCCATTATGGGTATATAGTTATTCCAGATAACTCCTCCTACAGTTTGAATGCTAGGAAGTTTTCACTTTGCTGGCTGTTTGTACATATATTGAGGGTGTGCATGTGTTCAGGGTTTTAATTTTTATTAATATTTGCTCATTTGGGAGATAGTTAAACTTATTTTAAAATTACACTTTGCATCTGTGGGGGCATCATTTGTGTCTCCCAGACACAATAAAATCTCAAAGAAAATTCTACATTGACTTTTTTATGATGCAATTACTTCAGAGTGGAGTGCGGGGGCATCACTTTGTCTAGTTTATCTTTATTACAGTACAATGAATAATATTTTATTTCTATAACAGGAAGTAAGAAAATAACATCCCATTGTTGGCGACCTATAGGTATGTCTGTAGCCTCAGAGTTACGGAGATATTTTGTGGGAGGATCACCAGAATTAGAAGATCAGACTTACACAGCTATACCATCCACATTTCAGGTATATAGTTTTTGATGCTGATTTAATATATAATTTTTGTACCATGCTTTGAACTTGTTTAGAATCATGTGCAAAACAGTGTAGCCGAGACCATTGATTGGCGCGCTAAAATATCCCATTGACTGGGTCAGATTAGGTGAACGTTCGTCTGTAACGCCCACAACTCACGACGTATTTATTATAAAAATTTAAACTGTGGGGTTGCCAAAGGGTCTCAGTATATATACGAACTACAGTGCACAGTATAATATATACATATTTCATTTGCGATCATAAAATGTACGAAGTCGTCCATTACTATGTAAATTGGGTCAATTAAAAAAAAAACTGAATATGTTTCTGTTGCCAAGGGTTTTTCACAAGTATAGTAGTTAGCAGAAAAGATCATCAAACTATACATTGTATACTGAACTGCGGCCAAGCTTAGCGAAAGGTCGTGCAACATAATCAGTCAAACAAACTTTATTAGATTAACTCGTTAAGGAACGATCGTTTTCATTGGTCATTTCAAACCTTCAACCTCACACCTGCGAAAATAGAACACGCGTACTATAAAGCTGAATGGACTGATCAGTATTCACGTAGCCGGTCAAGGTCGTTAAAAACTTCCATCGTCGTATTCACGTACATGATTGTGTTCTTGATTATCCCATGGCAATTCTAGCTTTTATACATGTGCATGTAAAATTTTAAACTTTAATCTTAACAGTCACGTCGAATATTTAATTCAACTGTCTCCTCTCAATTGGTTCTGGATTAAGGGAGCTACCACTTTATTTTGATTGGGGGTGGGGGACTTGGATGAAACATTTTGTCCTGCATTTTTTTTTAGTTGTTATCTCTGTCTTTCTATTTTTCAGTCTGTTAGGTCCTGACTATATTTATTAGTTTATCCTGATTTTTTTTACATAAATCGTCACCCTGCCTTTTTAGCTCACCTGACCTGAAAGGTCAAGTGAGCTTTTCTCATCACTTTGCGTCCGTCGTCCGTCGTCCGTCGTCCTGCGTCCGTCGTCCGTAAACTTTTACAAAAATCTTCTCCTCTGAAACTACTGGGCCAAATTTGACCAAACTTAGCCACAATCATCATTGGGGTATCTAGTTTAAAAAATGTGTCCGGTGACCCGGCCAACCAACCAAGATGGCTGCCATGGCTAAAAATAGAACATAGGGGTAAAATGTAGATTTTGGCATATATCTCTGAAACCAAAGCATTTAGAGCAAATCTGACATGGGGTAAAATTGTTTATCAGGTCAAGATCTATCTGCCCTGAAATTTTCAGATGAATCGGACAACCCGTTGTTGGGTTGCTGCCCCTGAATTGGTAATTTTAAGGAAATTTTGCCGTTTTTGGTTATTATCTTGAATATTATTATAGATAGAGATAAACTGTAAACAGCAATAATGTTCAGCAAAGTAAGATCTACAAATAAGTCAACATGACCAAAATGGTCAGTTGACCCCTTAAGGAGTTATTGCCCTTTATAGTCAATTTTTAACCATTTTTCGTAAATTTTTGTAATCTTTTACAAAAATCTTCTCCTCTGAAACTACTAAGACAAATTTAACCAAACTTGTCCACAATCATCATTAGAGTATTTAGTTTAAAAAATGTGTCCGATGACCCCGCCCGCAAACCAAGATGGCCGACATGGCTAAAAAATAGTACATAGGGTAAAATGCAGTTTTTGGCTCATATCTCTGAAACCAAAGCATTAAGAGCAAATCTGATGAGGATAAAATTGTTCATTAGGTCAAGATCTATCTGCCCTGAAATTTTCAGACCAATCAGGCAACCCGTTGTTGGGTTGCTGCCCCTGAATTGGTAATTTTAAGGAAATTTTGCCGTTTTTTGTTATTATCTTGAATATTATTATAGATAGAGATAAACTGTAAACAGCAATAATGTTCAGCAAAGTAAGATCTACAAATAAGTCAACATGACCAAAATGGTCAGTTGACCCCTTAAGGAGTTATTGCCCTTTATAGTCAATTTTTAACCATTTTTCGTAAATTTTTGTAATTTTTTACAAAAACCTTCTCCTCTGAAACTACTAAGACAAATTTAACCAAACTTGTCCACAATCATCATTAGGGTATCTAGTTTAAAAAATGTGTCCGATGACCCTGCTCGCGAACCAAGATGGCTGACATGGCTAAAAAATAGTACATAGGGTAAAATGCAGTTTTTGGCTCATATCTCTGAAACCAAAGCATTTAGAGCAAATCTGATGAAAATAAAATTGTTCATTAGGTCAAGATCTATCTGCCCTGAAATTTTCAGACCAATCAGGCAACACGTTGTTGGGTTGCTGCCCCTGAATTGGTAATTTTAAGAAAATTTTGCAGCTTTTGGTTATTATCTTGAATATTATTATAGATAGAGATAAACTGTAAACAGCAATAATGTACAGCAAAGTTAGATCTACAAATAAGGCAACATGACCAAAATGGTCAATTGACCCCTTAAGGAGTTATTGCCCTTTATAGTAAATTTTTTACAATTTTCATAAATTTTGTAAATTTTTGTAAATTTTTACAAAGTATTTTCCACTGTAATTACCGGGCCAAGTTCATTATAGATAGAGATAGTAGTAAGGAGCAAGAATGTTCAGTAAAGTAAGATCTACAAACACATCACCATCACCAAAACACAATTTTGTCATGAATCCATCTGTGTCCTTTGTTTAATATGCACATAGACCAAGGTGAGCGACACAGGCTCTTTAGAGCCTCTAGTTTTTTGTCAAGTTGCTCACCCTGCCTTATCTTTTATTCAATGGACTTGATGAATTAACGTTGTACTTGAAATGAAACCGTACTTAACTACAAAAATAACCAAATTACATACTAAAGATATCGCTCGATTTTTATAGTAAATGGGTTTGTGTTATAAACTGTCATGTTCATTATTCATATTCTTTCATAAGTTTTAGGATAGTGTGATTTTTTTTCTGATTTAGTTTACTTAATTTTGAAAAAAAAATCCTGAAATTCTAAGTAAATTCAGAACATGTAACCAGCCATGCTTTGTTTAGAGAAAAAATGGAGATGGCAAACCATGACACAGTGGAAGGAAATGTACTTTATAAACTCCAGCGATATACTTTCTTAATTTATAATTAACTGTTTTGCTGTCCTCGGTTGAAAATTATATATTGTAAATATTTAAATAGTTGCATAGAAAACAATCAGTTTTAAACAGTGTGGTTATTCACTAAATGTATTGATAAAAGGTGACTCCATTTTTGTACATACTTTTACAGTAGTCATCCTTAATTTCTTAATATTTCGTTTATAAGTTTATCATACATGTATGATTTTGTATTTCATTTTAATACGCACGCATGCCACACGTTACTTTGGCGGATAGTTCAACAATGTTATGCAAAGCTCTATTCTTACGGTATGAAATTAAAGGATAAATTTTCAACCAATTACAATCGAAAACAGTACATTTATATAGTTCCTTATAAACTACGACATTTCTCACAAGTATTTATTTATTTTTTAGTTCGACACATGCAAAAATAAAATCTTCGCCGATGAAACATTTCAAACCTTTTTACACCAACATGCCTTCACTGAATTCATTTGAATTTCGTGGTGACCATGATAGTACATTGCATAGTACATCTATATTCACGTGCACACATGATACGATCTTTCGGGGACAATTTGCTCGTTTATGACACGTCATTTCTGAATGACCAAACGCTTAGCTACTTTTTCGTTTTATAGCATGAAAACAATAAAAGAGGAATGTGCAACCCATCATAAATTTGAAATGGATCAGTATTATGAGATCCTTATTATAAGTAATTACGACATTGTCAGGATAATAACCTAGCGTCAATATGAAAGAAATTAAAGTGGTTCATACATGCATCCGTATAAAAGCGGCACATGTATTTTATTTTATCCTTATATTTTTCATAGTGCGGTACAAGTGCTGCATGCATAAAGAATATTACTTAACACAAATTATTAGTATAATATTTCGACCCCACTATTTGAAATTCACAAAATACTTATATAATTATTTGGGCCAAAAATCATAGTTTTTTACGTTCGTAGTAACGTAGTACATTCCATTGTCGGTCACCTGTGTCAATTCACGTGCACACTACAATTGTTGTTGTACTTAAATCTTTCGGCCAATGAAATGAGACGTTACAAGTTGTTTGTTTGTGATACGCCAGAATGTTATCAATGAATTATCAATCGCTAAACTTGACTGTACATATTCAAAAACGTAAATGCAAATTTCACAAGGCTTGATCCAAATAGCCTTTTTACTGTCTAATAACTTGCAAGTACGAAAAAGAAAACCGGAAAGAAGTATATTTTGTCTATATGTTTTGTGTTTGCACACTTTTTAAAGTTGATCATGCATTCGTTCTAAAATAAAATTTTGACCAGATAAAAGTTAAAAGTTGACATAATTGGACAACCGCAATTGTTAAATCGCTTTGACGTCCGAAAAAAATATAATAATCAACACATCCATTGTAACTTTTAAAGCCAGTTAAATCCTTTTTTGCTGAAAGAACGTCCGATATCATAAAAATTCATTATCAAAACATAACAAAAAACACAAGTAAAGAACGTTTAAGTATTCAATATAAATCAAAACACAAAGGTTATTCCTGATTAGTTTTTCGAATTATTTTATTTAGGCTTTGAGACCCTTTGGTGACCCCACAGTTTAAATGTCTATAATAAATACGTCGTGAGTTGTGGGCGTTACAGACGAACGTTCACCTAATCTGACCCAGTCAATGGGATATTTTAGCGCGCCAATCAATGGTCTCGGCTACACTGTTTTGCACATGATTCTATTTGGTTTCTGACTGAGAGCATATTCATCCTTCATTTTGTAGTCAACTATTCACAATTGTTAACATTATTATGTTAGAGTTATTTTGGGTCATATTTTGTCATGTGTTTTGCCCTGGGTTTTTTTTAAAACAAAAACAAAAATTGAATATTTTGAAACAATTAATTTTAGCATTGGTGCTTTTATTGACAAAATTTTATAAAGCAATATGTGATGGTAAATTTAGAAGTCATTGTTTGGAAGTATATTTATGTTAACCAATTATTATGTTTCTTAATGATGTATGAACAAACCATTGTTTCAGGGAAGTCATTTGAGTAAATATGGATTCCGTACAGAAACGACAGGAGAAGTTACAGTCAACCTCAATGTTATGATGCAGGCCAGGTAAGAGTTGTCTCTCTTTATACAGATAAAACAAATAGAAAATAAATCCTATCAATAATCAATATTTTTGGAACTCTTAAACATAATTTTTTAGAAGATCATAAAAAAAATAAAAACAGACTTATTATCGATCTTGTTTAATATTTTCAGAGCATTTATGGAGAAGAAGTCACAGAAAAGGTCACTAGGATCATTGTTAGATAACTTAGGGTAAGCTTGAATATATCCAGCTAAGAAAGTTTGGAGTGTATATTGATTGCTTAGTGGATTATGAAGTTTGGAGTGTATATTGATTGTTTAGTGGATTATGAAGTTTGGAGTGTATATTGATTGTTTAGTGGATTATGAAGTTTGGAGTGTATATTGATTGTTTAGTGGATTATGAAGTTTGGAGTGTATATTGATTGTTTAGTGGATTATGAAGTTTGGAGTGTATATTGATTGCTTAGTGGATTATGAAGTTTGGAGTGTATATTGATTTTTTAGTGGATTATGAAGTTTGGAGTGTATATTGACTGTTTAGTGGATTATGAAGTTTGGAGTGTATATTGATTGTTAGTGGATTATGAAGTTTGGAGTGTATATTGATTGTTTAGTGGATTATGAAGTTTGGAGTGTATATTGATTGTTTAGTGGATTATGAAGTTTGGAGTGTATATTGATTGTTTAGTGGATTATGAAGTTTGGAGTGTATATTGATTGTTTAGTGGATTATGAAGTTTGGAGTGTATATTGATCGCTTAGTGGATTCTGTATCTTTCACAACCTGTCCTTACTCATTTAAATTTCTTATGTTAAGTCCTGCTTTAAATTTGTAGTATATTTATGTTAAACATTTCATCATCCACTATCAATAAGAAATGGTGACGTCACACTATGTTTTATCCACAGAAACATTTTAAATTTGTTTACAACATCATCCAATTGCATTCTTCATCTCATATTTAATTCTTAATCAGGCTTTCCAATAGCAAACATGGATTTTGGTATTTCTGCATATTGGGAAGTGATGATTTTTTTAGAGGATATAATTTAAACAAAGTTTTATGCAACATTTTCATGTAGGAAAATAGATATGAAATTTGTGATCATTGAAAGTTGTTGTTTATCATTGAAGATTGATCAAGAGAAAAAGGTGTTGCAACAAATCAAATAGGGATGCCTTTTACTTTAGTACTATGTAGTATTATTTATTAAACATTAGTTGATGATGTGTAAAGAAAAGTCATAATTTTTGTTTTTTTAATGTGTTTCATTCTATTTTCAGTGTAAATGCTGTTCAAGCCAATATTGCCTCAGTTTTAGGTAAGTTTTCATCACAATCTATTGATCTGTTTGTTCAAGTATGTATATACTAACAGTTTAAGACAACATTATGTATGACATTAGACATATCATGAAATTCGTTATTGGTCCATTTTTCTCTATTCAGCAACCCCAATCCAGACCCTTAGATACGTATACTTATTTTTAGAATTCATTCTGATTAAGAATACCTATTTACGTTGACTTTATTTTTTAATTGTAGAAGCATTCAAGAAAGCAAGGCAGAGAATGATGCAGGCAAGAGAAAATGCAGAAAAGGAATTGACAAAAACGACAGGACGATCTGTAGAGTCTGCAGCTTAGAAAATAAACTTGTCTTATTTTTATGAAATATGTTAAAAAAATTGCTGGTTAAAGTTGGTAAAAGAAAGTTATAGAGAAAGACAAACTGAAAATTTTGACAACAGGATAAATACTTCTGAACATCTTCGATTTTTAATAATCCAATCTTGATTGATTAGGATTTCCAGTTTTCCTGCTGAAGGTTGTGGTTCTCTTTGGCTTTCTCCACCAATGAAAACTGGCCTCCACTAAATAACCTATTATGCTAAAAAGTGGTGCTTAACACCAAAAAATCAATCAGTCAATCTGAAAATTTTTATTTTGTCGTGATGTTGGGTTTATAATGAAACTTAGTATAAGACAGTTACAGATCGAAGTGACATAATATTTTTTATATCAACTAAAATATTTTAAATGTATCTGTCAGGTTTTTCAATCATTTTACAACCAGATCACTTAACATGAATTGTAGATCTTAGAAAACCAAAAAAATATACCGTTATTGTGATAACTAGAAAAGAAAAGATATTACTTATCTACAAGATAAGAACATCACAGACACTGAAGGAAAAGTTCACATCAGGGGCGGATTCAGGAGTGGGCATGGCGGGTCTCCCCCCCCCCCCCCCCCCCCCCCTCCCCAAAAAAAAATTGCAAAGCATGGGTTGTCCTCCGCGAAATATCTAAATTGCATCCATTCAAGAAGAATATTGCGATAATTTTACCTCAAAAAAATTAGTTAGCATCCCCCCTAACCTACAACCCTGGATTCCCCCTAAATCTGCCTCTGGTTTCTGTCTTGAACATTTAGTGTGAAAACACAAGAGAAATGTGAAATATAATATATTCTTTCAAAAGGAGGTATGTAAAGTACTTCTGCCCAATTTGAAGAATTATAAAACATATTACATTTAGTATCTTTCGCCTCTCTTTTTTCTTTTTTCAAATATTCAGAGACAAATTTAAGGGCCTCATGGAGCTATATATGGTTAGAAGTCCACCTTCTAACATTGCCTTGTTGATGGTTAAGAGATTAGAGTACTTAATTCAATTGTTAGTGAATAATATTATTTTACTCCGTCCATTATATTTTTTGTACATTTATATATCGTTTGTATATTTATTTTGATATATGGATAGAATTAAAATGTGATAAATTAATATATTTGTTTGTTTATATATTTTGTTATTTACAATATCCATGATATCTTGTTGTGTTGTGGCATTACATAAACATGAGGCTCTCAAGAGAATGTGTCGCTCACCTGTATCAACTGTGGTTTTTGAAATCATTTAAAATAAGGTTAAAATCAAATAGATACCCTAATAATGATTGAGGCAAAATTTGGTGTAATTTGGCCCAGTAGTTAAATCAAAAGCAGAAGATTTTAGAAAAGATTTACCAAAATTACCAATAAATTGCAGAAAATAACTTTTAAGGACAATAACTCCAAATAAGATGTCAATTACCAATTGGTCATGTTAAATTATTTGTAGATCTTTCTTTGCTTGATATTTTTGCAGTTTACAGTATATCTCAATCTATAATGATATTCAAGATAATTAACACAAATTAAAAATTTCCTCTCCTCCACTCCAAAATTTATTTCACCCAGGGCCTGTAACATGCTAAAAATGCCTTTACATGTTTTTAGGGAACACTCTTCAAAAATAATTTGGGCAGGGGTTCCCATGACCCAAACTAACCTGTCAGGAGGGGGGAGATGTGCATGGGCATTCACTCGATATAAGTATGCTAAAAGACAGGGGTGGGGGGATGGGCATGGGCCTTCACTCGATATAAGTATGCTAATAGAAAAGATATAATAATGGTTTATAGAAAAAGTAACCCAGAATAAGTCTGGAAATGGAACATATCAAGGAGAAATTATAAACCACCCCCCCCCACCAGCCCCCCCCCCCTTTTCTGAAATAGAATTGCACCTCCTGGAAAAAAAATCAAGTCATCCCTTTGTAGTCTAACAATAGTTACTGAAGACCCCTTATCATTATTTAAATTAATTTTCAAGTTGTGACCATTTGAAATTGTTTTTTACATTTTTCCCATAGACTTCTATATATGAACCCCTATGTTCTGTTTTATCAATAATAATAAATAATAAATAAATTCTTTATTTAACGAAGGTAATTCATTTAACATACAATTGTTAATCTCACACGAGGCCTTCACACATTGAAATGAACAATTAATACATATAACAATCAATGCATATAACACAATAATCAATAGAGATGTACACAATTACAAATTTATATACACAAGCATGAAAACAGACTGAAGAACTAGCATGGCAAGAATGTCCTAAGAAAAAAAAAAAAAAAAAAAAAGTTTGTCTACTCATTTTGTTTTGTGAAAAAAAGATTAGCACATTTCACCTTAAAGCTTTCGATATGACTTGAATCCTTTATAACATTTGGCAAACTATTCCAATGGGGACCATGTTGGTTGTAGGGCAGGGTCATCAGATACATTTTCAATCAAGATACTCTATTAATAATTGTGATTAACTTTAATTCCATTTGGCGAAGTAGATTAAGAGGAGAAGATTTTTGTAAAAGATAAAAAAATATGAAAAATAGTGAAAAATTGTCTTTATAGGGCAATAACTCCTTAAGGGGTCATTTGACAATCTATTATGATATTCAAGATAACCAAAAACTGCACAATTTTTTAAAATTACCAATTCAGGGGCAGCAACCCAAAAACGGGTTGTCTGATGCGTCTGAAATTTTCAGGGCAGATAGATCTTGACCTGATGAACTTTTAAACCTCATTTCAGATTTGCTCCAAATGCTTTTGTTTCAGAGATATAAGTCAAAAACTGCATTTTACCCCCATGGTTTTTTATTTGTAGCCATTGCAGCCATCGAATACATAATTTAATTTGGCCTAGTAGTTTCAGAGGAGAAGAATTTCATAAAAGTTAACGACGACACCGGACGCCAAGTAATGAGGAAAGCTCACTTGGCCCTCTGGGCCAGGTGAGCTAAATAGTGAAACCTTTCTAAAGATATGCTTTAAAAAATAGTTCTGTTTTGGATTCTCAATGCCTTTCAACTTCCTACTTAACTTGGCCTTTTTAACGCTTTTGATTTGTGCGTCTGTTGAGTCTTTTGTAGGTGAAACGTGTTTGGCTTTCAAATTTTAATCCTGGTATCTTTGTTGATTTTATTATTATCATATAAATCTAGTGACAAAAGTAAAAATGTTACTAATAAGAGCATTAAGGACTCAATATAACTGACACTATAGTAGTCTCAGAATATGAGGGGGTCTCTGAATACGACAAGGGATACTAGTCCCAAATGTATAAATTTTCTAAAATAGATTAATAAAAATCCAAATTTCATATTTTGTTCCATCTTTTTTTTCAATTGTTAAACAAAGTCTTAAGTAAATATGTATTTTTACATCCAACCATTTTTGCTTTACATGGATTATATATATGCAAAAGAAAGACCATGTGTGGTTTTGATGTCAGTCTAGAAATCGATTCCTCGAGGAAAGTACCTTTACTAAAAATAAAATAGGGAAATTTTACAACCTATTAATAAACTGTGGAATGTGTACGAGCCTCTAACTGGTACAGTATCACGCTTCTATTTATAGACGCACATTAATTTAAAGTTTAAAGGACTTGGGTAAGTTCATTCCACGTGTTTATATGATATTTTTCGACCTTATGTTGTTGGTGTGCAGTTCAATTTACTTGCAGTACATTTATTTGCAGCATTATGTTGTAAAATATAGCTGAATATTTTGCAATTTATCATGTTTTCTTTAAAACAAGGTCAAATTTATGAATGAGCGCCCTTTTCTAAAATAGACAATTTCCAGTTTTGCACTATTCCATATCGGGGTAATCATGGTAATATCAAATATATATCTACATACATTGTGCATTAACGTGCATATTGATACCAGAGAGTAAATAAGATACACCCAATCGGGCTAACGCCCTCGGTTATTACTGGCTGTAATTATGACATCTTGAAAGGCTATTTTATTTTTTTGCTTTAATAGCCTTTCAAGACGTCATAATTATTTGGACTATACTGGCTGCAGATGGGCGTATATTATTTCGGTCTAATAAATGATTTCATGTATGTCAAAAATTCACAAATATAATTATATATATGTGTTTGATAGGGCTGGGACTATTATACTATAATATATTATGTCCCAGGATAGGGAACGTAAATTGCACGTATTAAAGTTTGCAATGCAATTAGTGTAAATTTGTATGATCGAATTCCTTGATGACAAGGGAACAACCGTTCAACTTCAAAAGGGTGAGTATGGTTTTTATACGACCGCAAAATTTTGCGGTCGTATATATTGGTATCACGTCGGCGGTGTCGTCGTCAGCGTCAGCGTCGTCCGAAGACATTTGGTTTCCGGACAATAACTTTGTATAAGTAAATATAAATCTATGAAATTTAAACACAGGGTTTGAAACCACAAAAGGAAGGTTGGGATTGATTTTGGGGGTTATGGTCCCTACGGTTTAGGAATTAGGGGTCAAAAAGGGGCCCAAATAAGCATTTTTCTAGTTTCCAGACAATAACTTGTGGAACAGTGTATGGATCTCTCTGAAATTGTACCACAAATTGATGGTTAGGATTGGCTTGGGGGGGGTTATGGCCCAAACCGTTAAGGAATTAGGAGGAAAAACAAGGTTTCCTGGTTAATGGACAATTACTTAAGTATTGGTCTTTGGATCTTTATGAAATAGATATTTTACCATTAAGCATTATATAAGGGATAGCATTCGATTGATTCATGGTATTTTACAGTATATAGAAGAGAACAATATTTTTGGATTACTGCTCTTTATTGATTTTGAGAAAGCTTTGATTCTTTGTGTTGGGACTTTTTGCTATTTGTCTGCTAGTTCTAGTATGAATTATTTTTTAGCTGTTTCTAGAAACATCAAATACTGTGATGGAAGTACATATAATATTATAATAGTGTATATAAAAGGGTTCAGTGGTAATAAATTTTTATACTCAGAATTGGTTATTCTTTGTTTGGGTGTTTTTTTTTTGCATTAGAGTTACCCACCTTACAATGGTTTTGTTATAAAGAAATGTTGTATTGTCTTGAGGTGATTAGCTGTCAATTTATTTTTAGAAGTTACTATTAAATGCTGATGAAGGTTTTTTAATTTTAGCCCTGATTATGTATGTCATTTTCTATTTTAATACTTTTATGATGTATTTAAATGGGTTTTTATGGTTTCTTGTGTATAAGTATTTTGATTGCTCTGAAATTGTACCACAAGGTTCAATACCACAAGTAGAAGGTTGGGATTCATTTTGGGGGTAATTGCCCAAACCGTTCAGGAATTAGGGGCCAAAACGGGTCTTAAACAAGCATTTTTCTAGTTTTCAGACAATAACTTGTGTTTGAGTGTATGGATGTCTCTTAATTTGTACCACATTTTACAAATTTCTTAAAAATTATTTTTTTTGGAAAAAGGGGGGGGGGGGGATAATTTTGTTTCCCTCAAGATTTAAGAAATTGTCAATTTTCCAAAGAAAAAAATTGGGGGTCACAATTTATTTTGCTAATTCTTTGTATATAGTCTAAAAACAGATTTACTAAGTATTGCGCAACAGCACAGTGTATTGCACAACAGCAAGAAATCTTCAATTGAATATAAATTCAAATCATACAACCAATTTCAAGTTCTCTGACTACATTTCTGTGTCAGAAACCTATAATGTGTCAAATATTTAATTACAATCCAAATTCAGACCTGTATCAAGCTTGAATATTGTGTCCATATTTGCCACAACTGTTCAGGGTTGGACCTCTGTGGTCGTATCCAGCTGCGCTCGGCGAAGCAGTTTATTTGTTTGAGTCAGAATATTTTTCAAGTTTTCCGACGCTATCAATCAAATTACTTTTTTTCAAAATTTAACACTATTACAAAGGTATGGGGAAAATCGGGATTCAGTATATGTTTTTTTGTCATCTGCCATTGTTGTCTGCTTGACCACAATTTTTTTTTTCTCCATCAAATTGGGGATCAGAACATCTTTTAAGGAAAAAAAACATAACCCCCTTGAAGTTAAATGGTTGTTCCCTAAGAATTATTATATTTCAGCAATTTAAATGGTTTATGCAGATGACATTTTTTTTATTCATTCTGTTTCCATGCTAGCAAAAGATAAAACAGTCCGTATATTATAGTGGTGTATGTCAGTAGTTACAAACAGGGGCGTATCCGGTCATTTTAAAAGGGGGTTCCAACATAGGATAAAGAGGGGGATTCCAACTATATGTCCCCATTCAAAAGCATTGATCGTCAAAAAAATTAGGTGAAACCCCACCCCCACCCTGGATCCGCCTTTGTCAAATTTGATTGGATGCAATCGGTTGCACTCATAGCCCACCAACGGAGGGTTGAAATATCTAGTATAATTGTAACTAGAATATGAATATGTGAGGGTCTGGATCGGGTTTGAGGGCAAAAAAGTGCAAAAAAAAATGTTAAAAAAGTTAAAGAATAGAGAAAAATAGACCTTAAAAAAGAATAGAGAATAATAGTCCAAATAAATAAAGAAAGGGGAAAATGGTAAGAAAAGTTAAAGAATAAAGAAATAAAGAAATGAAGAACGCCCCCTCCAGACTCATATTTCTGTCCCAAGCGGTTGTCTAACTTTTATCATAATTTTATGTGACAGTTCATCAAGTTATTTGGAACTAATGACGGGTCTTTGATACTTCCTGTTCAAATAATTTGACATGTAACTGCTGTAAACTGGGGATGATATAGAGATCTTGAAACATTAATTGTGTACCTATTCTCCTCATGATTTTTTCTGTATATTTATATTATGCAGTGCAGAATTTAATCGTGGATATATATGCGCACAGGAAAGAGCCCAAATGTTGGAGAGCTCTTTCGGATCTCTGTCATATGACCTATTGATTTAAATGAACTGCTGTTTTTGGTTTCTTGCCTTTCAACAATGTTTGAATATTGGAAGTCACTACAGTTTTTAATTGCTTTGACTTTGCGTTCATGTCTGATTGGTGTTAGCAAGGATTTGTATAGTGAGACACTACATAAATGCTCGGTGTTAGGTACGTAGTAAGTCGGTTGATTCATTAACTGGCACCATCCCTCAACCACTGTGTAGGACCAGAGACATATAATACAAGAGATTCGCAACCCGGCGAAATCCCGTGAAAACACGCGGCCACTAGTTAAACCTCGCGAGATCTCCTTAGGTAATAAAGTCATTAATAAAAGTATTAAAAGTACTCGAAGTAAGGACGAATGTTTAAGCATAACATAAACTGTTTCAGTGTTAAATTTATCATAATTAATTAAATAATTTGAGTGAATATATAACTATTTATTTTAATGTAATTTTGATTTTAGATTTGTATTATTGAAAAAGAGACATAATTTGATATTGTATTAAAAAAACTGATATTAAATAATTAACACTTGATAAATTGTGTCAGAGTTCATTTTATTTGATAGTTTCATAAGAATGTAGGACAGAAAGTCACAGGACAAAAAGTCACAGACAAAAAGTCACGGACAAAAAGTCACAATTCAGTTTCGAGATTATATTTCTTTAAACAAGAAAACACTAATTTAAAAAATTAAATTTTTGCTTTTTCTTGAACTATTATATAGACAAGACAAGACAAGACAAGACAAGACAAATACTTTATTAAAGTCTCACCTTATGTACATACATATAAAACATATACACATATAAACAACAGCGTATACATAAGCCACTCTAAAAAGAGTTACGAGAGACTGATTAAAACACATATACATAAAAGAAATGTATATACAATCATTAAACCTGTGTAACATCGACATATATAAAAGGTTAATTTCAGCTTATACATACAACACTCAAAAAAGAGTAAAGAGAAACTGATTAAAACATATTGACATAAAACATATAAAAGTAATGTATATACAATCATTAAACATATAAAACACTTTTTCTTTTCAATAATATATCATGGCAGATTTTGGCAGTGTAAAATTGCATATCATCATTATTAAACATAAATATAAGTTTTTCATCATCAAGCATATTTATAAAACTATCGTCAAAGTGACTAGCACGAGTAAAAAAGCTTTCACGTAAATCTGCATATATTGGACATTGCAATAAAACATGTTTTTCATTTTCAATATCATTACAATTAAAACACAACCTTTTTTCTAAACATAAATTCTCGTATCTTCCTGTTTCTATTCTAATAGGTGCAACGCCACACCGAAATTTAGACAGAGCACTCCTGTATTTACCAGGCATATTTTTAATCAAATAATTCTCAACACCATATAAACATTTGAATTCTCTGTAAGTTCGCAATTTACTTGTATCATTAGACATCAATTTTCTTAACCAATCCTGCTTAAAATTTTCAAATAATAAATTTTCGATACCTTTTATATCATTCTTACTTAAAATATAATTAGTATTACATAAATTATTCATACCAAGACTAATAAATTTGGCATTTACCCTAAATTGCCAATTTTTTATTCTACCCTTTCGATAGGAATTACTCCATAAAAAAAACTTTTTTATTCAACCTCTCATCACACATTTTTGTTAATCGTGACCAGTTTCTAAATACACAAGACCAT